ACCCAAAATGTGTGGTAGTGGTATACTAAGACCTATCTATTTCAGGTATCCTACTAACTCGTTGGCTCAAGAAATTTTAAATTTAATAGGACTAGTTATCCAATAGCATTGCCAGCTTAATCTAAAGACCACACCTGCATGATATTTCAAATTCACCTTCGAAATTCAGTCTATACTTGAATGATAAGTGTAGACATCTTGACCTCGCGAGCGGGTCAATACTTTATGCAGTCGTGCTCACATGGACAAATTCCAACAAATTATCAAAACGAAACAAATATTAAAATGACAAAGAAATGAAGTGTAACTTAAATAGGTGTGTAAAAATCACAACCGGTACAGGATGAGTGCCAACACCTGATGTTGTGACGTATGTTTATTTTGATTTTCCGCCTCGCCTGTCGTCTGTTCCCACCCACTCACAAAAAAATTCAATACTTTGATGTTTATGTCCTATTCAATAATTAAATAAAAAGGTAATAATGAAAAATGAAGTGAACCACGTCACAATATATGCTAAAACGACCAGCGACATCACATCGACAGATAAAACTTGTTTGTTGATACTATTTTGGGGAGGAGGAGACGGTTGAATGCCATCACATTTTCTGCCGCAATTTTAGACACCTGTTTGTAAAAAGGTATACAGACTTGGACATATCCACAATAAATGATAAAGTTTAACATTAAATATTGCGAGTAGTATTAAAACGTGAAATTTAGAACAAGAACAGCAACGATGCGGTTTACTTACTTCATACAATCCACTGGAAGTGCTCAACAGGAAGCTCACTTTTACATGTCACGTGACTTGAAAATCCCATCATATATCTGCCGACTGGTAGCCTCAGATTCGCATATCGAAAAAATATTTCTTTGAACATATGCTGCCTTTTCACAACCACCTTTTATTCCAAGTATGTGCGTTTTTATTGTTTGATATGGAAAGATACACATTCAGCTTATAATGATTTATGAACTGAACGTTAGGATGATATTAAGGATACATGCAACGTCTTATATTAGGAGTTATCTCCCCTATATTACACAAGAAAACATAACCAGTGAAATAGTGAACAGTTATTTTTCGCTAATATGAAACATACATTGATATTGGAAATAAATAGAATAACATATAGCCAGTTTTATGACATACATTCCTTAGACAAAATGAAAACCTCAGATGTTTTTAAACGGTGTTTGCATTTTTTAACTGGAAAAAGTCTATCAAATTCGAACATGTAAGTAAAAGATTCAAGACTTCTAGAAGATAAAGAAATTAACAAAAGTAACATTTCTAACTTAATGTGAATGTACTATTGACTTTCTTGTAACAATGGATATTGACATTTTATAGGATATAGTAAAACAAATTAAAATACTGAGAAGATTTGAAAAAAAAAAACAAAAACAAAAACAAAACAAAAAAAGAAAACAAACAAAGGAAACAACAACAAAAATAAAAGAAGAAAGATTAACTGGGTATTTCATTGAAACTATTGAATATTGAACTATCAATAATGGCTCAAATAATTCTTAACTTTACGATAATAGTTTTTTAAATGTAGAGACTTTCATTTATTAATATCAAAAGCATAACTACGTAATATTGAACTTTTGAAAATAGAGCTTTTTATTTTATTTTCAGATATATTCGATGGTGAATCACAAAGTTCACGTTTTGTAATGGAACTTATATACATCTTTCTGCGGGAAAAAGTGGGAGCGAACCGTGAATTAATCAAAAGTTTAATATATCCCTTTATGTACATTGTATGTGCGTCACTTATTTGAGTCACTAGTATTGATAAGGTCAGTTTAAAATGTGTTGAAAGTCATGAGCAGTGAAAACATCATTACACACAAAAAGTCATCACAAATGGATGTTTTCCTGAAATAACTTTGAAGTTCAATATTCATTCAACTTCATAATCTTGCCCTATTACTATTGACTGTAATGGAAGGAAAGAAACTATTTTTTGCTAAAGCCAAGATATATTATTTTAACCTTAGTTGTCATGAAATTCATAAGGATCATGTTGTTGTGATTATTACACGATGATTTTGTTAAAAGCGTCAACCAAATTTTATTAACACGAGAAAAAGTATTAGTCTACCCGACTTCTTTCATTATTTCCAGACATCTTAAACAAGATGGCATTTCCGCTTAGGAGAATATACAGAAGCAGAAAGCAATTTCATGAGAATTTAAGTTTATACCAGTCATTACTACATCTGGTTTCATAATGGGCATAGAAACACTTCAAAATCAGATATTAAAATATCTGGACTCCAAGTAAGTAATATAAAATTGCTTAATGAGAACAGTGTTAACAACAAACACAAGCTATCTGGTATACTCACGAACAACTTGGTAGGGAGCTGTCCCTGTTGGTTTCGTTGTAGGAAAATATCAGGTTAGCGACTGATGTAGAAGAATCCACCGTGTCCTTGTTTCCCACTTGTGGTTGGTATATACGATGGATATTGTCAATAAATGATTAAATATTTAAAGGCAAGTAATGGTCAATATATGGTATTGTACAGAAAGGAAAAATTAAATGTTCTTATTTCATAGTTATGTAGTTATAATGTGCTCACATTTTCTTTGGGTACTCGAACATACTTATGTAATTATAATTACTTACCTTTAATATAAGTACTTGTTTAAACTTATATTAATACAATGTAAAAAGCTTTACAATGTTCCTATTTATATAATTACAATTTACTTACCTGTACAATGTTACTAGATCATAGCATTGTGAAAATATGCTTACTTTAGTTAGGTTTACCAGTTTATATTTATAAAGTATAAAGTACTTACCCTACCAGGTTAACTTGTTTATATATACATATGTAGATACAATGCACTAACACTTCCTAGAATTACCCGTATATACCTATGTAGATAACTTGCTCTACGTATCATATGTAAATACTCTGTACTAAATTTTATTACGCTTATCCGTCCATGCCAATTTACTCACCTGTTCATATTTATGTAATGACAACGTATTTGTTTTTTCTTGGAGGACCAGTTTATGAAATGGGTATTACAATGTAGTAACCCTCGGTGAGTTATATCTTCATATAATTTTCACTGATTGTAGTTGTACGTGTATGTGTTTATAAACACAGGATAAATGTTTGGACTGTAATATTATTGTCGACACCAGCATTCCTTGTTCAGTCAAACAACACCATTCTACTTATAAATATATGGCAATAACTGATTATGAGATGGTTTTACTTAGCTTGTTACCAAATCCTCTTGATAATTTTTGAATTGTGTTAATACTATTTCAATGTCGAATTTCGAATAAAATATTCACGGTTTAAACTAAATGTTCTTATAAAAGGTATCTCTAAGATTTTTTCTTTTATCATCATCATCCGATTTATCCACTCCTTGAGTTATCAGTATTATGGTAATGCAAATCGATCAGTGTAAAACGAGCATATAGCACGCTATATAGATCGTGGTGAACATTCCCAGAATACAAAGACTTATACGCAAGCTGTAATTCACTTGATAATGGATTGCATTTAATGCAATCCATTATCAAATGAATTACGTCTTGCATATATTTTTTTTCTCAAATAATAAATGGGTAAGGTACAATTTCCATCTCCAAATTATGGAAATCTTCAACCAGTAGCTCAAACGATCACACAAACATGTCGCGATCCAATATAAAAATCATACTAGAGGCCGGTTTATATAGTAAGCAGTCATTAGAACTGGGGAAGAAAGGCCTGCCACCAGTTTGATTTAGTATTAGTTGGCTTATAAAGTAGAAATGAATTGAATGAAATATATTGCTATAGTATTTCATATTGTGACCATGTCTATGACAAAGGCTTAACCCGCAGTGGTTTTAAGTTAACGGATATGGAAACTAGTTCTGAGATAAATTCCAGCGAAGGCTAAAAATTTTACGAAAATATTTTGAATCTGCACTGAAGATTCTATTGTCATTGACACCAGTTGAGAGTGTGTTTCAAAAATTACAACTATGTAACACACCTATTGAGAATAATGTTTCCACTCCAGCTAGCTGTTGCTGCCTCTCCCAATCAACACAGCACGTACTATCATCCAATAGTTAATATTAACGGTCTATGACTTTTAATTTAAAGTAAAAATGAAAGAATGAACAAATGCTTGAAAATGAAAAGAATTAATTTACTTGGTAGAATTCAACTAGAGCATCGTACATATGTTGGACTGCGTGGGTGTAAAAAGGTCCCAGGGGGACAAATCATATATATTCACCGATGTTGAAAAAAATGTCCAAAAATGTTATCATAACTACAATAATTATCATCATTTCAATGCTTCACTCATCAACTTATCAGCAGAGAAGGAAACTATTACTTGATATTTTTTCTCCAAAATGTCTTAATCTTATCAAAGTACATAGAACCATCGCCCTTCATTTTTATGGAAAACAAAGTTATATATTTACAAACGATAATTTATGGTATCAATGACAGTGCAGTAAACTTGATGGATTTCCCCTAGTTTAGACATATCGAGTTGGAATAAAATATTTCATTCTGAATTATAAAGAAAACAGTGACACCAATAAGCTACATCACATGTAGCGAATGATCTTCGATACTTGATGTTCATGTATTTAAAAAAAATACTGAAAAATGAGTCCTGCTTGCATAAAGAAAATCTCTGATATTTTCAAATATATTCAGCCAACATAAGGCAAATAATTATTAGGTCATATTTGGGAAGTTCATCCAATGGCATTTTTACACGATGATGCGCATCCGGAATACATTACAACGCTGTATGAGTTATTTCCCTTTAGCTTCCTTGTAGTTGGCCAGGTAAACCTGTTTTGACATCTACAGGTACTTGTGTGTCTGCGATTCCTATGTCTGTATGCTCACGTGCAGCCGCTTGACAACTGTATCAAGGACTCGTTATGACGTGATCACCAATTAAGCTTAATTTCTTTGACATAGTAAACCATTTAGCCATGGAGGAATTCTGTAACGGCACATTTTGGGTAAGTACTCTTGCACTAGCAAATCACGCTGACTGCTGTCAGTGCAACAGCACTTATCCCCTGCAAATGAAGGGTACTCATGGTTGTCGTTAAACAAACATGCGCACTCGTTCTACTGACACAGACAAAATACAAAAACTCGTCGATTCAATCATCTTTTTCATATCGAACAACAGTGCACTTCATTGTTTGTTTATTGGTAGTGCTTTCGTTCCATATAATGACCTTTTTTCAAATGTAGGGTTACTTGTAAAGTTAGTGAACATACTAGAGCTTAAACTTCTTAGAGCGGGAATTTATGTGAAATCAGATTTACTTTTTGTTGTGTTTGATCTAGTTTCAGAATCTTAAAAATAATCCGGAAGTGTTTATTCCTGAACTCAGGCTGTCTGTTCATGCTTCATTTGATACAAGTTTAAAGTGATTAGCTGTGACATTTCAGGAGACGTTTAATATCCAACGATGGCAGTAGTATAAATCATTTTGTTTACATCAGCTCCAATCTTTCACAACTGTCATTTTTAAAGGTGTACCTCTACCATTAATAGTTACTTCACACACAGCTCTTCAGACAAAAGATGACAATACTTTGTGTCTTTTAAAAACATTTTTTGTGCAATTTATACATAGAAAATGCATTAATTATTGATGTAAGACTTTGAAGTATCCCCTATCCCAGGCTGAGGGACCCAGGTTTCTGCCCTTCCTTAGAAAATGCATTAATTATTGATGAAAGACTTTGAAGTATCCCCCATCCCAGGCTGAGGGACCCAGGTTTCTGCCCTTCCTTAGAAAATGCATTAATTATTGATGTAAGACTTTGAAGTATCCCCTATCCCGGGCTGAGGGACCCTGGTTTCTGCCCTTCCTTAATTTTTTTAGACAACCCATGTTTCATTGACACAGGCGATGATTGATGACTTATATTTAAATATGATGTTATTGGCTCATTGTTCACCTTGAATTCTTTGTTGGTAACTGGATGATACATCTTAAAGGTGTTTTGCCACTCCCATCAAATTGTAAATCAAAGTCTCTATTTTGAGAGATGAGTTTACCCGCACTTCTTCTAGTTCTGTGACCTCGATTTATGACCTATATCATAGCTTGTTTGTCTGATAAGTCTGGTTACATTGTACAATACAGGCCTCAAATTTAAAGCTTTTTACTGACTATTTGCAAGTAGAAATCAAAGAATTGCAAGTAGAAAAAATAATTACTTGCTTTTTTCAGGAAGTGGATTCATCAGATGCAAACCGTGATTGCCTGTCAGCATAATAATATGTTATAATTACATTTATCAAAGGCAAGCTGAGTAATAAACTATCAAAGTGAAATGGATGAATGCATAAGTTATTTTTGATATGTGTCCTGTGCATTTGTAGTAGTAACGTCAATAAGTCACACTTTCTTAATTTTCCTGGGGATGGTTTTTCACAAGAACTTCTCTATTAATTGCTGTGTGAAGTTAAAAAGAGATTTCTTTACAATCATCCAACCTGCTCACCAGCACAATTTCTACCTATATAAACAAGGGGCTGATCTGTTATACAGAGATGTCCCAGCTGTCACTAATGTTTCTGTAAATATTTAAAAATTCAGTGCATATGTATCAAGTGACACTGCAGGATACTTTTAACTACAGATGAATTTGTGTTCAAATTAAACAAAGAACAAGTAATTTTTGAAAGTGTAGAAACTAAATCAACACTAAAGGGCATGTTTGCATAACACATATACAGGTACTGATGATTGTGTTTTATGTTAGGTTAAGGTTTGCAAGTGTAAAGATCTAAGTTCTTTAGTTGTATAATAAATGAGAGCTCTCAATTAGTTACCTGGTCATGTCAACAACTGACCAAGTCACATTCCTGTGTAGTAACAATCAAATTGATTTACATACAGTATACTGTACATGATATTTTATGTAAGGATATATTTGGACTGTTCATTTGAGTAGCAGGAAACAGTTAATTTGCATTTTTCTTGAAATTATTCATCGTGTTTGAGATATAGCAGATTGGTTGTGATAAGTACTCCCTTTCATGTGTATATATTTATAAATTACTTAATAGTTTACATGAATAGTAGAGAAATAAAAATTGTGTAAATAAAAATTTTTCCCTTACTTCTGACATGTAATTGCCGTGGTTGCCAACTTAAAAAAATGCTAAAAATGCAAAATAGCTACAAATTCCAACCTCACACTACCACATAGTAGATGAAATTTATGCCAGTCTTAAAGTCAACAATACTGTCATGGTATAAAACTTCTTATAATTCAGTAAATTCCATCTCGGAACGCCTTCACAACATGACCATGTGTAAACACTGTGAAAACTTCACTTGTTGTATAGCTAGCCTTGGATGTGTAGACACAGATTCGAGACTGCCCAAATAGAAATCTTCAACACAATGCAAAAGTATTATTCTGAAAAATATGAAACCCCACATTGTCCACTTCAACATGACAAGACCAGTTTTGAATTTTGAAATTTTGATTAAAACTTTTGTAATGGGGTAATGTTATGAATAAAAAAAATCACCCGTGTCCACACAGGGAGACTGTGTACTGCTACCTTGTTTTGCTTAACACTGGTTTGTAACTTTACTAAACAGAAAAAAAAATTCTTATTATAGTAATATTGAGAGGGAAAATATATTATTACAAAATTTTGAAAACAATTACTCAAAAGGCACAAGTTTCATTGAAAAGAGAAATTTTTTGTAAGCCACCCTGAAATCTTGTAGAAAGCATTCCTTTATCACGTTCATGTCATGCACGACAATGTGCCCTAGTTTGATTCCTGTTTGCTTTTCTACATTTATGACCCTGGTTGCTTGGGAACATTAAGGTTTATTTATACTACCTGAAGATGACAAGTTTCCTGAGGACTACTACATCATAGGGAAATCAAACATCTTAGAGTATAGAAACATCCATATCTCCATGAAATCACAGAGTCAATTCTTTATTATACAGAAAAATGAACAGATTTTTTAAGTCATGTGATCAATATTTTATTTTCATGACAGAAGTGTAGCTTGATCACTATTGCCAGTTTTTTTTACTATTTATAGTGTGAGAGAACAGGTTCTTTATTTCTAACATTGTTACTACTAATATAGCAGGACCCTGTTGATTTATATCTGTCATATTTTTGGATGGTGGAGCTTTTCTTCAGGGTATGCTTCCTGTTGATTAGCTGCTACTAACCAATACCTGTCTCTTTGTTTACAAGGCCGTGTCACATGTGTTGGGCGTTCATCAGTAAGTTGTACCTTAAGAGACAGGAATTAGAGTGAACACCGGAAGTTTGGTTTATTGCTTACTTTGTTTACTATATACGGTTTGGCCAATCATAGAGTAGCACTCATTAAGGAAGAGGGTACTACAGTAGTGTTGCTGTTACAGTACCCAATAGTACGACGTCAGCTCACATATATAGAGTACTAGAGTAACCATAGGATGTGTATTACCAGGGCATAGTCTGGGGCTTAGGGCTTAGGCATCCATAGGAAACATGAATACAATGGTTAGCTGTAGACCTATAGGGAGTCAGGAGCACATATTCTGCTGGTACTAATGTTAGGTAGCGTAAGGTTACATGCGTTTCTGTTAGGATACTAGTTGAGTTACTTAGTGTTAGCTGTCAATAGTCAGCACTAATGTTATGATCCTATATTGTCATACCTGTATATATTTATTATGTTATGTTGATGAATAGTTGTTTGTATATATTGGAACACCTTGTTGAGTAAAACTGTGTTTCCACTACATCCCAGTGGTCGAACCTGAATTTTAAGGGGCCTGTTAACTTGAAAGGGGGTGTCCAGGGGGGACTGCTGTGAAGGCCATAGACTTCCATACCGAGGATGAAAAGCTATACGATCACGATTTGGAATTAAAAGCTATCCAGCTGGCCACTGCCCTCTCTGTTCTTACTGTGAACACACGTTGTGTGTATGTGGCCAGAGCACGCGTGTCGAAGGTGTACTGGGACGCATGGCAGTCCCCCCATTACAATAGTTTTGTACTTGCCATTTTCCAATAGTTATAAACAGGTCATGGTCACAGAAATGTTTGTCTTTTTTTGGTATGTGTGCATCCCTGTTTTCCTTATTTTATTGATTCCTTTACCTTTTATTTTGTATTGTCATTTCCTCATTTGCCATTGACATTGACAAATGAAAGGGAAACAACTCCGACAGACTATGACTTATGATGGAGGCACATTCTCCAATGAAATGAATTCCCCCATGTCAGGCGATACTTATCAACCAATCACTGTCACTGTTACAAGGATGACCTATAATAATTACAGTTATTTCCTTTATGATTAAGTATTAAATGATTAAAAAGGTTAAGCAAAATCAGTTATATTGAATTTATTAACAAAAACAATGTATATTTTGCTGCTAGACAATATTAAATAAAGTTTGGTAAAAATAACTTTGGTTGTCACTGCTTTATATTTAATTTTCTAATTTTCCAGGATATCAATGAGACTTGGAACAGCAGCTGGCCACAATTTACTGAGTGTTTCCAAAATACAGTGTTGGTATGGGTGCCCTGTGGCTATGTGTGGCTAGCTCTACCATTCTATATATGGTACCTTACCTCTGTCATAGGCCAACCTCTCAAGTGCTCATGGAAACACAGAATTAAACTGGTAAATAATGTTGTCTCAGAAAATAGGTTCAGAATATATACTGTATTAAATCTGTGATGTAACAAAACATTTTTTAAAAATTTTTTAATAGTTTTGACTGTTTATGTGTTTTTTTATCAGACACTGTAATATAATCTTTGATGTCAGTATACAAATCTTTTCTTTTTTACATATTTGATTGTTAATTTGTTTTTTTTCCTGCTGACACTGTAATTTAATCTGTGATGTAACTCCAAAATATTCTTTTCTTGTTATGTTTTTACTTGACAGGCCATAGCAGTTATCCTAATTGCCTTCCTTGTGTATTGGATTGTTGAAGTGGTGAATACCCTCAAACCTAAAGAAGAGTACTGGAGAGCCACTCTTGTAGGACCAATCATACACCTAGCTACCCTTGTGAGTGTATAGATAGTAAAGTACCATGTGTATTTACCTACTGTAAAGGTTGGTATATTGGGACCTATCATACACCTAGCTACCTTTGTGAGTATATAGGTACCATGTGTACCTACCTACTGTAAAGGTTGGTATATTGGGACCTATCATACACCTAGCTACCCTTGTGAGTATATAGGTACCATGTGTACCTACCTACTGTAAAAGTTGGTATATTGGGACCTATAATACACCTAGCTACCCTTGTGAGTATATAGGTACCATGTGTACCTACCTACTGTAAAGGTTGGTATATTGGGACCTATCATACACCTAGCTACCCTTGTGAGTATATAGGTACCATGTGTACCTACCTACTGTAAAGGTTGGTATATTGGGACCTATAATACACCTAGCTACCCTTATGAGTATAAAGTACAATGTGTACCTACCTACTGTAAAGGTTGGTATATTGGGACCTATAATACACCTATACCCTTGTGAGTATACACCTATGTGTACCTACCTACTGTAAAGGTTGGTATATAGGTACCATGTGTACCTACCTACTGTAAAGGTTGGTATATTGGGACCTATAATACACCTAGCTACCCTTATGAGTATAAAGTACAATGTGTACCTACCTACTGTAAAGTTTGGTATATTGGGACCTATAATACACCTAGCTACCCTTGTGAGTATATAGGTACCATGTGTACCTACCTACTGTAAAGGTTGGTATATTGGGACCTATAATACATACAGGTACCATGTGTACCTACCTACTGTAAAGGTTGGTATATTGGGACCTATAATACACCTAGCTACCCTTATGAGTATATAGGTACAATGTGTACCTACCTACTGTAAAGTTTGATATATTGGGACCTATAATACACCTAGCTACCCTTATGAGTATATAGGTACAATGTGTACCTACCTACTGTAAAGTTTGATATATTGGGACCTATAATACACCTAGCTACCCTCATGTGTACCTACCTACTGTAAAGGTTGGTATATTATACAGGTACCATGTGTACCTACCTACTGTAAAGGTTGGTATATTGGGACCTATAATACACCTAGCTACCCTTATGAGTATATAGGTACAATGTGTACCTACCTACTGTAAAGTTTGATATATTGGGACCTATAATACACCTAGCTACCCTTGTGAGTATATAGGTACCATGTGTACCTACCTACTGTAAAGGTTGGTATATTGGGACCTATAATACACCTAGCTACCCTTGTGAGTATATAGGTACAATGTGTACCTACCTACTGTAAAGGTTGATATATTGGGACCTATAATACACCTAGCTACCCTTGTGAGTATATAGGTACCATGTGTACCTACCTACTGTAAAGTTTGATATATTGGGACCTATCATACACCTAGCTACCTTAGTGAGTATATAGGTACAATGTGTACCTACCTACTGTAAAGTTTGATATATTGGGACCTATCATACACCTAGCTACCCTTGTGAGTATATAGGTACCTACCTACTGTAAAGGTTGGTATATTGGGACCTATAATACACCTAGCTACCCTTATGAGTATAAAGTACAATGTGTACCTACCTACTGTAAAGGTTGGTATATTGGGACCTATAATACACCTAGCTACCCTTGTGAGTATATAGGTACCATGTGTACCTACCTACTGTAAAGGTTGGTATTTTGAAGAGGCTCATTGTTAACTCTATTTTAAGATGGGATAAAAAAGCAAAAAATGGATATCAGATACCTTGAAAAAGTAAACAAAAGAAACCAAATATTTTTCTTTTTGCTTCAAACTTTTTTTCAAACTGGGGCAATTTGAATGATAAAGTAAACTTTACAATATCTTAGAGGGAAATTTGAATAAGTTTAATACTAAACAATACATGCTAAAATCCTGATCAGTCTTTAAGTATCAAGTAATTTTACTATGGTAGCCTAGAAACGGATGCTTACCTGCTATTAGTATTGCATACAACTTTTGAGTACATATAGTGTAAATTAGCCATAGAATTCTACTCTACATCAAACACCTGATAGATGTGCTTTACTGTTGTGAATATGGATTATAATTGGAGTATACAATTATCCATTTGTGTTATGAATTAGATGTACTTTTACTTATTAAACTTCTACTGTTATATATTTTGCGTTGCAGTGTGTAGTGTTTGTACTAATGTGCCTGGAGAGATGGAAAGGACTGGTCACCTCAGGAGTGCTGTTTATATACTGGGTTCTGGTCGCTGTGACCTTTATCATTCCTTTTTATTCCACAATCATTCAAAAGGCAAGTTAGAAATATGAATAAACTGCTGTCACCCACTGTTATTACATGGTACTCAGTACGACATATTATTTTGTAGTCATAGTGGAGTGTAATTTGATTACTGGATGGGTCAGAAAAGTAAGAAATTCAGCATACAGCAAGATATAGGTCACTAAGTCGAAACAACAATTGAAATTACACTTTGATATAAACTCATTGTTCACTTTCCATTGGTTTTGATACAGCTTTAATTAGCACTTTTTCTTTGAAAGGTTATTTTTCTTTAAAGCAATTCAAATTCCAACCAAATGTAAAAAAATATGTTACATGCGCAAATAGAACCAGAGATTTTTGAAGTCTGGTAAGGAATGTGACTCTCAGAAATGGGAGACTTGATTAGATCATAGAATTAATTCTAACAGTTTTTGGTTATTGGAGTACTCATTACTTTGATATCTCAGGTGAAAACACTGATTATTTCAAGTAAAAAAAAAAATGTTTTTCTGTATCTTAGGCCTATGAAGACCATCAAACTGGATTTATCATTTTCATGGTTTCCACTGGGCTAGTTCTTATAGAGGTGTTGGTTCACTGTATAGCAGAGGAATTACCCAACACTGACAAGGTGAGTGTCTGTCACAAGGTGACAATGAAGCAAAAAGACCGTTTTACTATATACATTTATCACAAAGTAATCATTTAACATTTGTTAATATTCTTAACCCATCATTATCAGATGATGGTTTGTTCAAGTCAACCCTTTTTTGGTGGTCCATCATCTGGCATTGGTGGTCGAGTGGTTAACACGACCGGCAACTTTATTGCTAACCCTACACCTCTTGGTTGTGGGTTTGAAACCTTTATAGGGCAGTCACCAGGTACTGGCTGCAGATAAGTGAATTTTCTCCTGGAACCTCATCTTCCCTCCAATGCTCATACCTGGCATGTCCTTAAATGACTTTGGATGTTAATAGGATGTAAAGCAAGAATGAACTTAACTTAACATTCATGTTATGTTCCTAATCAGCTCTTGTTATGGCTATTTCTTAAAAAGTCTATGATTTTTATGTCTGAAACTTTATATGTAGGTTCTTTCTGGTCTATAGTTATGCCCAATGAATTATGAGATTACCAAAAAAATAAAATGGCCAACAGGCTCTGTTTGTGTAATGGTTAGTTAGAGTTAACCAGTGGTAAGTGAAAAAATTAAGTTGTTGCCACTGGAATGTCAAGAGCATTGAAGGCAAAAATAATTTTCAAAATAAACTGAATATAAATCACACCTCAACAGATCTACAGTTCAGAAATGATAAAGAATGTGCTCAATTTTGTTTGATATTTCAAAAACTTAACTTACCATTGGTCATCTTTAACCAGCATTTGAATAACAATTTTGACTGTCACTTCCTATGATTGCTATGATAAGAACTTGATAGACCTTTCTGCAGTTTTTTACATGGGTTCTCCATAGTCACAAGGTGTGCCAAGTTTAACTTTTTTTATACTGATTAAAAATTCAAAATGACCAACACTTGGCTACCTTGAATTGAGTATTTGTTAAACCTATTTTTGAAAAGAACTGGATAGATCTGACAGTTTATAGTACACTGTAAGGCAGTCAAAATAAAGTATTTGACTTCTGAGGGCTGTTATTGCTATTTTTATGGTGTTACATTGCACCACATGATTCATTATCCTAACAATACAAAAATTATCTGTTGAAGTTCATATGATTATGAATGCCAGAATCTCTCTGGGATCCATACCCTGATCTGTAAACTGTTAATTCATTTGTTTTTTGTTTTAGTTCACATGTCCTGAAATTCAGGGGTCATTTTTATCAAGGTTGTCATTTACATGGCTTGACAAGTAAGTGTCATATGAAAGTATTGTTATTAGCATGTTAATTATCCCACCAAAGGTTTTTATTTAATTTAATTTTTTTTCATTGTTATTTAATTCTGAAATTTAGTCTGTGCTCCACTTCATTTATATATGTCACAAATGTAATATACCCCTGAGCATTTTTAATTGGATGTGTCAGTTAAGAATTGAATGTGACGTCATGATAGGGATATTGACCTTACGTCATGAATCGGAAGTTGGTGCAACAAAATGACTGCCTCATTTTGATTCTGTCCTCTAAATCATAACTTTGAATTAAAAACCTTTCAAAATGTAACTTTTCTGAGTTATGTGATGAAATGTATCTTAAATTTGTTTTAAGGTTTTATGAAACTTCTCAAAGCTTGGAAAAACAAAAACTTTTAAGACTAGTTTCATAAAATCCTATATGGAAGATTGTACATGGCTTAACATACTTCATGCAAACAGAAAACAAGAAAAGAGATATTTGGTACTTTGCAAATGAACAATGTGTATTTGTTTTAGGCTTATGGTAATGGGATACAGGAAGACTCTGACAGAAGATGATGTATTTAACTTGAATCCCTCAGAACAGTCAAACGAAGTCGTGCCTAGATTTGAAAGAGTCTGGCAAAGCGAGTCTGCGAAACAGAAAATCAAGTGAGAATGCTAAGATTTTAGTTCTTCTCTGGGTGATTATGAAATTATATGAATGTTGGTCCAATTAAAAAGACACATTTTAGAATATTTTATGGATATCATCATTTACAAGGCCTGATCACATTTAATTTGACAAAACACTTGGGAAATAGCGGAAGTTTGATACATATAGAGATTCCATTGATCTGCCACTTGATATAAATGTGTGTTGATCAGGTTTAACTATTTTGCATAAAAATAAGGGTGAATATAGCAAACAATTTTCATACTGTAATAGCATTATTAGAATAGTTCTTTTAACACAATCGGTAGCAGATCAGATTGTGACGTTTCACAGACTACACCGTCACCTTCATCAGTTAAAGGACCAGTGTTGAGTGTACTAGCACTGGCAAGATGTACAGGATCAACTTTTCGGCTGTACTATAATCCTGTGTACGCTAAGGTCAAAAATAGTGTGACGAGATGGTAAACAGATTAAAATACACAATACACAAAATGTTAACAATATACCGTATTCAATTCAGCTAAACATAGTGTAGCCAAATTGTACACAACAAACATGTACATAAGAGATCACTAGTTTAAGTAATGCAGTGATGTACTGAACACTACAATGTTTTGAAGTTATATAACACTACACAAGTAATAGAACATTTCAAATGAATTGAATTTGGGTTTCAACTTGGGTATTCCCTAGTGATGTTACCATATCAGTATGGATAACCTTAGGTGCTAGACCTTTCTTATGCAAATATTAAATCAGAGCTCTTGGAGCGATTTTGTTCATTTTGCAAAAGCAACTTGCCTTGTTTACTTTAGAGTGCTACCTCTCCGACATAATCTGACCTAATGACAATGGTCATGTGGTACACAGCCTTAAGTAGTCAACTGAAAAAGGACATCCCTGCTTAACTCCTTTAATACAAGGCTGACAACTGATCAATCAGTCCTCGTATATACAAGTACAAAACATTATGATTCAATCATCAATAACATATTATCTTTTACGTTTTTTAATTTTCTTTTCTAGAGCTAGGAAATCAAGGGTTACTAAAGTACCTGCAAGTTCCTATGAAAACTTCACAGAGAGAACACCATTATTGTCTGGCACTAACATTAACCAAGACACAAAAAAGGACTCCTCTAAAGATTTGGTTGGAAAAGCCAGTCTGGCAAAAGTGCTATTCAAAACATTTGGATTGGAATTATTAAATGCCCATATATTCAAATTATTTTATGATGGACTAAATTTTGTTAATCCCTTTCTTTTACGGTAAGTATTACTTTAAATTCTGTTTGTCTTTAGTTCTTTTTGGAAAGAAGCACAGAATTGAAGGTTACGATATTTTGGGAAAATGGTGTCAAATAGTGAGACATTTTGTTTCCGGATAACAATGACAAATCTTTTCTCAAGAATCATTAGGATATTCACTTTATTAAAGATTTCACTGTTCCCTTGTTTACTTACTACAGAATCACTATATGTATTAGAAAATATTTGAATGTTAATCATTCAGTTTATTGTGAGTTAACCCTTAAGGACACATTTTTAATTTTGTGATAATGAGTTCCTTTTGATTTCAAGCTTGCTGATTGACTTTACGGTGCCTGATGCTAATGGTGTTTACCAGCAAACCTGGAAGGGGTATGTCCTGACTGCAGGTTTCTTCCTCACCGTCCTCATGCAGTCTTTTCTCTTTCACCAAGTATTTCACAAGAGTACTACCCTTGGCTTGCGTGTTCGTGCTGTACTCATATCAGCTGTCTACAAGAAGGTGAGGTCTACCACTTATACGACCTTTAACATATGAATGAACATTAAAGAATAAAATGTTTTTGTATCGATACAACAAAAATAATGTTTGAACGTTGAATAACCAATTTTGTTATTATTTAAGATTGATTTTCATTTAAACAAGTGACATAAATTTTTGAATTTCATCATTTTCAACTTTGTGTGCTTGGATCAGGGCTTCAAGTCACATACTAAAGTTGAAATCATGTTATTTGAGGTACAACATCCTTTACCAGACTGCAGATTAACATTATCACACACAGATATACAAAAACATATTACTATTTATGATTTTTCTTCCCTCTCAGGCATTAACAATGAGCAGTGCATCAAGAAAGGAATCGACAGTTGGTGAAATAGTGAATCTCATGTCTGTTGATACAGAGCGCATAGTCTCAACCTTACAGTATCTGTGGGGAATCTGGTCCTCACCACTTCAAATGGCTGTTGCACTCTACTTCCTATATGAGACTACTGGTCCGTCCATGTTTGCTGGCTTTGGATCACTTATACTCATGTTTCCTGCAAATGGCTACCTCATGTATAAACTTCAAAAGCTTCAAGAAGAGCAGATGAAGTTGAAGGACGACAGGATCAAAGTCGTTACAGAGGTTCTCAATGGTATAAAGGTGAGTCAAGGTCATCACAGAGGTTCTTAATGGCATAAAGGTGAGTCAAGGTCATCACAGATCACAAGGTCATTACAGAAGTTCTGAATAGAATAAAGATGAGTCAAGGTCATTATAGAGGTTCTCCATGAAATAAAAGGGAGTCAAGGTTATCACAAAGTTTCTCGGTAGAATAAAGGAATTCTCATTCGAGATTGTGATTTAAATAAGTTGAAGTTCTTTGTTAATGGATTGTAGTTACTTGTGTCACAACTGACAGGTGATCACTGTCTGGTTCTGTAATTTGTTCAGCTTTTCCTTTTGTCATTTGAAGCTTTAGATAAAGCTTGGAGACTATTTGGATGTTTTGAAATATGCTATTTTTATTGAACAGTTGTATCTAGAACATGCATATCTAGATGCCATGTACAATTAGGTGAACATTTTGATAACCGTGGAGAACAGGATAGTGATCTGGTTTCAATATACAGTGTATTGGCAGAGAAAAGTGGACTTTCTTTAACTGTAATCAGAAACACAGTAACCTTTATATTATTGTACACAATATTTATTTCCAAACAGTAAGTAATTGTTGAAGACTTCAACCTAACAGAAGATAGCAATACCAATATACATGCTGTCAACATATCTATAAAATAGAACCTTTCAAAATGGTAAGTCAGATTCCTGGATTGCAGAAAATTTATCGTGACAGCTTACATCACAAGGATTTTTCTATTGCACAAAATGCAGTCTTTGTTTGTAATGACTATCTCTTGAAAAAATCTTATTTCACCAATTTTAGATTCTGAAACTCTATGCATGGGAGATGTCATTTAAAGAGAAGATTGCTGCTGTGAGGAAACTGGAATTAGCTGTGATCTGGAAAGCAGGGATTTACAACTGTGGCTTCATGTTCTCTTGGACCATAGCTCCATACCTCGTAAGTATTTTGCCTCTGTCATACTTAACAGTGTGTTCTCCTACATCATAAGCTCCTTATCTCATAAGTATTTAACTTCCTTCATTCTTACATTCCCTTTTCACCATAGCTCCTTATATGAAAAGTGTTCAACTTTCTTTATACTAACTTATGTTCTCCTGGACCAAAGCTCCTTATTCAATAAGTGTTTTATGTTTTTCATATAAACTTATGGTCTTTTTGGCCGAAGCTCATTATCACCAATTTATTTCAACTCCTTCATTCCAACTTATGTTTTTCTTGCAAAGTAGTAATGTAGCTCCTTTTCTCATATGTGTTTCACCTCCTTTATACTTAAGTTCTCGAGGACTTTAGTTCCTTACCTCTTAAATATTTCAGCTGTTTACCTTCTTTTTTAAAGAGATAAAATTTTCTAAATTTGTTGAAGTGCTCTAATCATTTACATATATGGTATTTTTATGAAATACTTTTGATTTTTGTATTCAGGTGTCCCTGGCAACTTTTGTAACATTTATATATGCATCAAAGGACCATTTTCTGGACCCTCAGACAGCATTTGTGGCCATTTCTCTATTCAACATTCTGAGGTTTGCTGTTAATATTGCTCCAGCTGTCATCACGGAAGTAGTCACGGTAACAAAATATTGACACTCTTGGTCATGTGATCAAAAATTAAGTGTTTTTAAAGTTTTATTGAAGTATTTATCAAGAAGATGTCAGTATTTAGTAAAATAATACATAGGTACAGTAAATATTCAGTCAGTTTGAACAAAATTAGTTAAGTTTTGTTGAACCTGTTAGAATTAGCCATAAGAGGTACATAATCATTTAAAAGTTTTGGATATTTGTCATTTATGACAATCTGTTTCTAGAAATTTTGTTGATCTACATGCAGTGTTACACTTTCATTGCAGATGTGGTTAATTATTTTAATTAAGGGATATAAGAGTTGAAAGGATCCACCATTATGGTATGATAGTCAATATTTTCATACATGTATATCTCACTTACATGGGGCACCTGGTATGTAGTAATCACTTTGTTTGTGCATCAATGATAACCTTGTGTATAACATAGTTTATTAACCTCTGGTTAGATTTAGTTCATATTCAGACCAATAGCATCACCCCACCAAGGTCTACACCAGATGAGATTTTAGTCACCAAAGGTTATCCTTGACCATAGATTTAAATCAGAAGAAAAATATGAGAGGGTTGGGCTGTGTAAGAGACCTATGTGACTTTGTTCTTTTTATGCCTGATGTAGGTATTTTTGTAATTACAGGCTAATGTCTCAGTGAAGCGTTTAAGTAAATTTCTGAACAGTGATGATCTTGATGAAACCTGTGTGACTCATAACACCTCTGAACGTAAGTACATGCATTTCTTTTTAAACACCTCTGAACGTACGTATTTCTTTTAACAAGGTAAACAATTGACATCATGTCTAAATATCTTGTGATTATATGGCCTGTGGTGCTATGCAGTTCATCATGAAATAATCACTCTTACAAGTCAGAGATTCGGACTAATGTGGGAAAGCCGCTACAACAGTATTTATTTTGTTTTGTTTCTAACAACCATTTTGTGCACCATCATCTCGCATAGAAATATGGTGTCTTTAATCTATGTGTTCAGTGCCATGCTAAGGCAAGAAAGACAATGGATTCTCTTACCTGAGGGAGACAAACAAAAATCTATAAAATTGTATTAAATGCTGTTTGGGTGTGTTTAATACCGTCTGGTTGATGTTCAGAGTTATATGTATCAAATGAGTAGCGTTGAGATATTCTAAGGTTGGTTAATGCAAGTGTTTAGATCATTCTTAAAGATTTGATGAAAACTGCTGATTAAAACAGTTTGGAAAATGGAAGAAAGAGGCATATTGGGTGCGGGGGGACCAAGCGATCAACTAGCATTTTGTAAAGTACTATTGTAAATATTCTGATTACCTGTACCAATTGCCTGAAATTGTTTCTATCATCAAAATTAGACAAGTGGTCTCCTAGAAAAGCTAGTCTAGTGCATTATGTTACCTGTTTGGAGTACAGTGACAAGGCCCTCCAGGGTCAGCAGTTTGTCAAGTGTAAACAATTATTCCCGTAGGAGCTAATAATTTTTTTATGATATTCAAATGTTGGAAATTACATAGAAGGTTTTTTTTTTAAACATTTTATATCCCTCAACTTTGACCTCCAGATTTTTAATAGGCCTACAAAAATCTAATACTTTGAATAGCATACTCTATGCAGTTGACCGCAAAGTGTCTTCCTGAAAAAATTAAGCTTATTACTGGATTACTACAGAAAGACCTTAATTAGCACACCTTCCATCCATGAGATTTTATACAGTGTTCATCATAGAGATAAAAATTGTCATATATTTCCCAACAGCCTCTCATAGCTTTTAGGCATGCAGGTCACAATACCTAGTCTCTTAACCTTCTTGCTGTCTTGTGAAAAGGACTCCTTACTTTCAAAGTTGTCATCAAATGTTTGGTAATAACAGTCTGTTGATGGGCTTTGTTTCAGATAAAGATTTGTAATATTTGTCTAATACAGATTTTAAGATCATAACTCATTTAAATTTTTCATTGCCAGATGAATATCTCAGATCACTTTACTTAATTTCAGTAAATACTGAAGATTCTTTGATATGTACATTGTAACCATTAATCATGATTTTGTACTTTCCTTAAACTAGGTGATGCAGTTGTGATCAGGGATGGAGAATTTCTGTGGGATGAAGAGGTTGGTACTACACTGTCAAAGTAAGTAACTGGCTTGGTGTTGTTACAGCTGCTGAAATAATTCCTTGAGCTATTTCCTTAAATTTTTAAAATCTAATACTAGAATTACATACTACTATAGAATGTTTCATAGATACTAGGAGAACCAGTACAAAATCATTATGATAAATACACAGGATACATTTTTGGTAGTCTTATTTTTCCATATCCGGGAAAAATTATCAATCATTATTTGAAAACTAATTTAGCACTGAACTAATATACCCCCAACTTAGTAAAGGAGAGATCTAAATAAGCAACTTTGTGGTTGTGTGGGTGTGGCCAACTATTTGCTTGTTCAAAGCCATGAACATCAGGATAGCTTTAGTTCATATTTCTTTCCAGAGCATCAAGTTCTAAACCTGATATGATTTTGTTGACCATCAGTCAAGGTTAAGGGTCAAAGGTAACCCTTGACCACTTCTGAAATACAAAGTTTGGTACAAGATAATACAAGATTCTCACAACAGATGTAGCTCATGATTTTTTTGTAAGTTTTGAAAAATGACTGAAGTCTAGTAAAAGAAAATCAACCCGAGGTATATACCACAACCACTCATTTTGTAACTGCTATATCAAACATAGTTACATGTCTAACAGTATCCACCTGAAATTATTCTGCAAAATTACCTTAAGAAAGGTTGAATATTGTGAATTAAAATCTTTGTTCAGCATCAACGTACGAGTGCCAGAGGGAAGCTTAGTGGCTGTCGTTGGACAGGTAGGGTCAGGAAAATCTTCTCTTATATCAGCCATCTTGGGAGAGATGAAGAAAGTGAAGGGAGAGGTGAATGTCAAGGTCAGTAAAATTATCTTTTATATAAATAAATATAGTGATGAAGGGGAATTATATTTGAGAAACTTTTCAGTAATTCATTTCTCTTAAAGGCAGTACTGAACCATGAATTAACATGTAGCATATGATAATTTGATTTGTCACATCTTGTGGTGAGACTTTGCATGTATTTTCCTTTTCAGAATGATAGCTATTTGAAGTTAGCAAATTTTCACATTGATGTCCTTTTCTGGTATACTGTTGGTATATAGAAATTAATTGTATCAGAAAGTTGGATATTTTGTTTTTAACTTTATTGAGACCGAACTCCCTAAATGTTAAAATTGTGATTGATTTTGTTTAGCTTCATTAACTTCAAAATATAGTATTTGGTATATTTGTTTTAGACTAATATGTATTTATGTGAGTGATCCAGCTGTGGTGAAAAAAAGAAGTATTTTACACAGGGCTCTTTATCATACATACCACAACAAGCCTGGATCCAGAATGCGACGCTTCAGGACAACATCTTGTTTGGTGAGAATCTACAACAGCGGCGTTATGATGATATAGTGGATGCTTGTGCACTTGTCTCTGATATGGACATGCTGCCTGGAGGAGACCAGACAGAAATTGGAGAAAAGGTTAGAAGGATTCTCAGTTTCTACTGTCTAGGTTTCTAAGGAAAGAAGTGGCAAATATGTGAAGTATAGAGAATTCACTTCACTGTTTCCTTAAAATGTCTAAAATGTGTATGATTATCTGTTTTTTTTAAAAGTTAAATACAAAAACACAAACACAGACAGCTGTTAAATTTTGGAGAATGATCAGGTAAACATTTCTTGCAGTCAACCTTTTCACAAATAATGTTTGTGACAAAGAAGAGGTAATTATGCAAGAATACATAATCAAAGCATTTCAGAATAAAGACTAGTAAGATATGATTTTCTTTGTTTCAGGGTATCAATCTGAGTGGAGGTCAGAAACAAAGGGTCAGCTTGGCTCGTGCAGTGTATTTTGACTCTGACATCTACCTGTTGGATGACCCACTAAGTGCTGTCGACTCTCATGTAGGCAAACATATATTTGACAGAGTCCTAGGTTCAAATGGACTTCTGAAAAACAAGGTGTGTATGATTTATATAATATTGTTACCCAGGGATAGATCAAAGAGTTGTCCTGCATTTGTTACAGATGAAGTGCTAATAGATATACAGTATCATGATGTTTTAGATAGGATACAAGAGTTGTCTACCCTTTATTCTAGATGAATTTCTAATAGGTATACAACCTTATGATGTTTTATATAGGCTACAAGAGTTGTCTACCCTTTATTCCAGATGAAGTTCTAATAGATATACAGCATCATGATGTTTGATATAGGATACAAGAGTTGTCTACCCTTTATTACTGATGAATTTCTAATAGGTATACAACCTTATGATGTTTTAGATAGGATATAAGAGTTGTCTACCCTTCATTCCAGATGAAGTTCTAATAGATATACAGCATCATGATGATTGAAATAGGACACAAGAGTTCTGTACCTTTTTATTCCTGATGAAGGTCTGATATATATACAACATGGTGGTGTTATAGATAGGTTATAAGAGTTGTCTGTCCTTCATTACAGACAAGAATACTAATAACACATGGAGTCCAGTGGCTTCCCCATGTTGACACTATCGTGGTGCTGGATAATGGCAAAGTGACAGAGATGGGATCCTATGATGAGTTACTCAGTCATGCTGGAGCATTTGCCAAGTTTTTACAAACCTACTTACTTCAGAATGATGAGGATTCTGATCAGGAAGAGGATCCTGAAGGTAAGTGAAACAGCTTAACAAAAGTTCTTACTTACTTCAAAGCAGAGAGGATACTTCGGTGAATCTTTTTATCAAATGAGATATATATTTAAATTGTTCTAAGATGAAGCGCTGTACAATCAATAATGAAAGTGCAAGTCAACTCAAACAGGTTTACTCCAAGGATGATTTATTTGGCAAACTTTGTATAATTCATTGCATTGGAAATAAAAAAAGATACATTAATGTTCTTATTGTTTTTAGTTGTGGAGACCAAAGCAAAGATTCTGCAGCGACTCACTTCAATCAATTCAGATGATGGTGGTGAATTATTAAGGTATTTGAGTACAGCTTACAGTAAAGCATTAATGAAAGATTCAGGATAGAAGAAGTGTTTTATCAAGCTCTCTGCCTCTTTCAAGCTCAACTCCTTCAAAATACTAGCTCATCCATGTTTAGAATGCTGTTTCTTTACATAAAGGTTTATTTCATCAATACTGGTGGCCCTATGTCAGATACAAATTCTTCAACATTTTTTTACATGTTTCAGATTTAAATTTTATTTGGCTGTTAAATAAGCTATAAAATGAATGTCTAAAAATATTAATTTTAATATCATTAATATTTAATCACTATATTATTAATATTTAATTTAATATTTATCATTAATTATTTTGATATCAATTTTACACATTACATGATAATAAAAGCATCTATTTTGGACAAGTTGAAATTGAATGATAGCATGTGCATTCTTATATGTGCACTGTGCAAGTAATCATTTATAGGTAACGGCAGTATCTTATTGAATTAACAATCTGATAAAGGGAAGTCAGGTTTCTGAAGTCAAGGAATGAACAGCAGCTTGTAATCATTCTAAAGTCTCTCTTTCCTCACACTGAGATAGTAGCTACCATGTAGTGTTGAATAGGTTCCTCCGTTTTAATGTTAACCTTGACCTTTTAGGGCATCAGAGTCTGAGAGTGGCACAGAGGACAAGACACTAAGGAGAAGGAAGTCTAAAGGACTGGAGAGGGGCATGTCTCAAGTTGATGGCGCGAAGAAAAAAGGACTCGAGAGAGCGTTGTCTAAAGAAGCAGCAGTGGAGAAGAAGATGGAGGATAAGTTGATAGAGGAAGAAAAGTCAGAGACAGGCAGTGTATGTATTGACCGGATACATTTTGTACAATTGTACTAAATACAGCCAGGCTAAGAATGTATTAAATATTGGTCAGATAAAGGTAAATGTCACACTGAAATCTTCTACTGGTTGTGTTATAAGAACTTCTATTCTATTGACATAACCAAACCAAAGAAAATGTTCTGAAAGAATGTATTGACTTATATGCAACTTAAAAAATTGACAGAAACCTTGTACATATATTGAAAATGTAAAGAAAATGCACATATTTATTGATATATATAAGATACAATGAGACATTCCTTATAAATACACTTTATACATATATTTGGAGAGTGTAATAGAATGTTTAAAAATTAATCTCTGATTTGGAAACAATGTAGCCATTTCTTATCCTTTTTCATACATCTCTCATCTGGGTCTTTTTAGGTGAAACTTGCTGTGTTTTTTGCCTATGCCCGATCTTTAGGAATTCTGTATTCCATCCTGATTGTGCTTGTAAGTGCTAGCTATCAAGCTCTGTCCGTTCTTGGCAACATGTGGCTTAGTAAGTGGACTGGTGATGCTACCCTCAATAACCGTACCATTGGACCACCAGACAGCTCGGTCTATATGGATAAGAACAGCTATTATCTGGGAATCTATGGAGGACTTGGGGCAGGACAAGGTGAGTGGAAAGCAAGATGTATTCGTCTTTACATGTGATTTTTAATTACACATTAGTTTGAACTGTCCAAACTTCTGTATCTAAAGTTTATCTCTGAATTTCATGAAAGTCTAAAAAAGCCAATTTAATGTCAAAACTATTCAGGTTGAAATTTTATGCCTTAACACTATGTTTACTAGTGAATCATGACCTGTTGGAATTTGTTTTGAAGGTAAAATTCCCAAATTCTTTTGATACTTCTAATTAACACTAACAGTCTGCATGAATAATCTTAAATCTTCATTTTGGCTTTTTATTTATCAGAATGAAACAAAATGAGGTGAACACACTTTTAACAGTATTCAGTTGCAAGTTTTCAATTTGATAGGAGTTTCAGATCTGTCTGATACTTGTTACTAGCTATAGAAAAGCCTTCCTACACTGATGCTCACATTGTGGTCTGTTAGCAGCAGTATACAGGTGTAATGTAGGCTTTAGTTTTACATACTGCTACTTTCTTTCTTTACTTTCTAATTGTGAAAATTGATACATATGTTCAGTTTCATATGTACGACTGTCCAAATGAAGTTTTGCAGTCCTTAGAAACTGCTGCCTGTATTCTGAATTTGTATTTATGAACCTTAATTGGTACTTGATATGTTCAGATACTTAAGTGTGTATTTATATCACTTCAACTTTCAGAATGATGTGTAATATTTTCTATTTTTAAATGGAAGTGACCATAACCTGTGACCATTTATTCAAGTACACATACATTTATCAAAAGTGAATTCTTTTCAGCTGTTTTCGTCACAGCATTCTCAGTGATTGTAGTAGTCAGGGCTGTGAGGGCTTCTAGAATGCTTCATAGTCAGATGCTCCATGGCATCCTGCGGTCACCGATGTCCTTCTTTGACACGACACCTGTTGGTCGAATCATCAACCGCTTCTCCCAGGACATGGACATCATCGACCGAGAACTCCCCCTGACATTCCAGATGTTCCTAGACTGCCTGTTTGTGGTGATTGGATCACTGGTTGTCATATCCTACAGTACACCTTTCTTTATGATCATCATTGTCCCTGTGGGATTTGTTTACTTCCTTGTACAGGTAAGTGGTCTTATACATATACCTTTCTTTATCATCATCATCCTGCCAGTAGGATTTGTTTGCTTCCTTGTACAGGTACATAATAGATATGAATCTTACATATTTGATCCTGTACTTTCTTTATGATTTATTAATCAAATATCCTCTCTGGACGAAAATGTACTTTCCAGACCAAATTCATTTAAAAATAGCTATAAATGTTAACAGATCTTAGCTTGGTGTAGACGATGAATTTCTTCTATCTGCAGAGATTTTATATTCCAACCTCCCGCCAGCTGAAGAGAGTCGAGTCAAAGACCCGTTCACCTATCTATAATCACTTCAGTGAAACACTATCAGGAGTTAGTGTTATCCGTGCATACAATGTCCAGCACAAGTTTATTGCAGAGTCTGAAATGCGGGTGGACCTCAACCAAAAGTACTCTTTTGCAAGTTTTTCATCAAACAGGTAAACAATAAAGAAAATGACTATGATTCAGACATTGACTTGATTTCATAATGTGTACTGTATGTATCCAGGGCCAGTTTCACAAACTGTCCTTATATTAAGGAAGTTCTAAAATCAAGATTGCCCATAGGAAAGCATTATTGGAATTTTTTCTTCAAATTCTTTTCAGTAATGTTAATTGTCACATTAAAAGATCTTAAGACGAAGGAATATTATTAAGTTAAGGAAGGTGTCTTTGAGGCTGGGGTATGATATATCTATATTTGTATTTGTAATATTGTATGGGGAAATAATCTCCAAGATTTATTTTAGTTCTGACATGAAATGTTCATTTTCACTTCATGTACACTTTACCTGAAAGTATATAAAAAAGAACAATTATTTTAGTAAAACTTTATCCCTGCATTTATTTTTACCCTATAGGCAAACGTGTAAAATTGTTACTGTTTATTTGTTTAGAAATGGTTGTAAAATAAATAAAATTAAAGAAAGACGGGGCAAAAGTAGGGGGAAGTGATAAAGTGGAGAAAGTTCCCCCTCATTACTGTATAACAAGTCAGTTGGATATCTCATTATCGGTAATTATTTATCAGTGTTTTTCCTCCATGGAATCTGTGCTTTCATGAATTTGGAAAATATAGTATGATTTCCTGAAAGATTTAAAAAATACTGTTGAATTTAGTTCATTGTTGGAAAAATGACACATTTTGTCAAGGGGAAACATCCTTTACTGGCTTCAAAACAGGGTAAAAAATAACTACTAACAAGAAACTTATTAACCACCCCCTCTCTCACAAATTTCTGTTTGATCTGTAGTGATGTTTGAAAAACTCTCTGGAGCTTATTTCTGATGTATATTTAATGTTGATAATGTACATTGTAAGTGCAGAATTTTATTAGGTCATCTGACCCGAAGGGTCCGATGACCTATAGTCATCATGCTTCGTCCGTCGTCGTCCGCCGTGCGCCGTGCGCCGTCCGTAAACTTTTCATTCAAACGACTTCTTCTCAAATACTAGAAGGTCTAGGGGGCTAATACTTGGCACAGAGGATACTGGCATGAATCTCTACCAAGTTTGTTCAAATGAATGACCTTGACCCACTTTAAAGGTCACAGGGGTAAAATATGTTAAAATCTTTAAACAACTTCTTCTCATTAACCAAAAGGCTCAGAGTGTAGATATTGGGCCTGTGACATGCTGGGATGAAGGACTACCAAGTTTGTTCAAATGAATGACCTTGACCCACTTTAAAGGTCACAGGGGTCAAATATGTTAAAATCTTTAAACAACTTCTTCTCAATAACCAAAAGGCTCAGATTGCTGATATTGTGCCTGTGGCATGCTAGGATGAAGGGCTATCAAAAATGAATGACCTTGAACAACTTTCAAGGTCACAGGGGTCAAATATGTCAAAATCTTTAAATAACTTCTTCTCAAATACTAGAAGGCCTAGGGGGCTAATACTTGGCCCATAGCATGCTGGCATGGAGCCCTACAAAGTTTGTACAAATGAATGACCTTGGCCCACTTTCAAGGTCACAGGGGTCAAATATGTTAAAATATACAAAGGACTTCATCTCAATAAGCAAAAGTCTATGAGTGCCGATATTGGGTCTGTAGCATGCTGGGAGGAAAGGCTACCAAGTTTATTCAAATTAATGACCTCAACCCACTTTCAAGGTCACAGGGGTCAAATATGTTAAAATATACAAACGACTTCTTCTCAACAAGCAAAAGTCCATGAGTGCTGATATTGGGCCTGTAAGATGCTTGGAGGAGAGGCTACCAAGTTTGTTCAAATGAATGACCTCAACCCACTTTCTAGGTTTGGCTTGCTTTTTGTCAGATGACCGTTAAGGCCCATGGGCCTCTTGTTTATAGATAAGATGCTGTATTTAATTGCAGATGGCTTGGTTTCCGATTAGAGTTCCTGGGAAATTTGATCATTGTGGCAGCTTCACTGCTGTCAGTGATAAGTCGAGACGGCAGTGGCATTACAGGGTCCATTGTTGGCCTGTCAATCACATACGCATTACAGGTCAGTAAGAGGGTGATACAGTGTCATGTTTTATAATGTAGAATTTCTGATGAAAAAGAGGTTTTTGACATCTTTTATGTAAAAGGATAAGTTGCTCAAAATATTGGAAGCAAAGAATATCCTTTTCCTTAGACCATTCTTTGTCTTATTGTTTGTCAAAATGGTTAATTTCCGCAAGTACGATGTAAGTTTGCTCCCAAGATTCTTGATTTGAAATGTGTTTCATCACCTATTGGTATTGTGTAATCATTTTAAAATTGAATTCACAGATCACAGAGAATCTTAATTGGATGGTGCGAATGTCAAGTGAACTTGAGACAAAAGTGGTTTCTGTAGAAAGAGTAAAAGAGTACTCAGAGCTACAACACGAGGTAACTGTTATCATTACAACACTAGGTATTTAGTACCCCCCCCCAAATAAAATTGTGTACATTCATTAATGCAGTTGTTTTTTGTGTCCATAGAAAAATCTTTTTGGGTCTTTTGCCAAAGTTTAGTTGAATAAAGTTTACTTGTTTTGGAGATTTCCAACCATCACCATCTATATTTTAAGGGATCATTTAGATGTGCTTGATCTCAGATAATGAGCCATTGAAAGTGATACTTTATCAAAAGCACAGACAGTGTATATTGGAGTGTCAACCTTAAAATCAACCTAGCACACATCACAATAAACAGCGTTTACTGTATTCATGATTTACTGTTATCAACTTGCTAAAATTACTAGATATTACTTCCTATTATGAAAAATTCACAAACACATTAGGCATGCTACAGAATAACCACTGCATAATTAATTACTAGTCTGAGATTTCATGCTTCCTGAGAGATGGCTACATTAACCTCAGTCTGTTCATCCCATGTCTGATTGTACCTCTAGTTTCCCTTCAATTTATCACACTCGTCAAGTTTTTCCCTGTTTGGGGCTTCCTCAAGTATAAAAATTGTGGGTGTAACTTTTCTAGCAATGATACTATTTCACTGACAATATTGTGACATCTACAGCAAGAGAGATATCTCTAATGATGATGTACTCTCCATCATAATTATTCCTATATCTATATATATCTGATGCCTTCGGGTATCCAGCAGAAGAGTATAGGACACCTGGATCTAACCAAAAGACAAAAACTTCAGCCTTGGCACTATCTCTAATACCTTTCTAATTTCCCTTGATACAAACCAATCTATATAACCTACTAAGGAATAAGTTTTTTATGAGCAGATGTCTTCATATTCTTTAGGATAAGTTGGTGTACAAGAGTCATCGTCCATCTTTGTTATGGCCAGCAAAAGGTGAGGTCAAGTTTCACAAATATTCCACCCGCTATAGGCAAGGGCTTGATCTCGTCCTCAAGAATATTGATGTGGTAATCCAACCTGGTGAAAAGGTAGGTATCTATGTAATGAAGTTTTGATCTCTAAGTCAATTTAAATCAAACCTTAAAAGCCAAAATTATACTTAAAATGCTTTGAGAAACAGCCTTTCACTGATGAAACAGTGTTGCTTTTAAGATTAACAAACAAAACTAAGATGGACACAGAAGAATGAATGTTTTTCTTACATCAGATACATTGAATCAAATATATCTGTCTATGATAACATACATAGAAACAAGCTGTCATAGAGACAATAGATTAAAAGCAATTAAGACAGTTTTTGGTTGTTTTGTTTTCATGTTTATACTATCTGTAAATATGATAAAAGGTACATTATAGACATCATATCATTGCTAATAGGTAGGTATTGTTGGAAGGACAGGGGCGGGGAAGTCTTCCCTCACATTAGCATTGTTCCGCCTGATTGAACCTGCCAACGGAAGCATCATAATTGATGGAGAAAACCTAAATCGTATGGGGCTCCATGATTGTCGATCTAGACTGACAATCTTACCCCAGGTGAGTTACTGGTTACAGAGTCTGACATATTTTAAACCTTTTGCACTTAGGTGTATGACTGTTGGGTACTGATGCTTCCAGATGTTTAAAGTCATCAATTGCTTACTTTAGCTGTGGTATACCTCTGCCATGAATTGACCAGGGGCATCATGACATCCACCTCATCCATCTTCCTATTACACTTTTGTTTGTCTTTGCATTAGATGCACTTTCTAATGAATAATTGTATTAAGATTGATCAATCAAATTTAGAAGAAAAAAAACCGAGTAATTCAAACATTCGATACTTGAATGATCGACAAGCGTGTAAAGAAATTATGTGGATGTTATTATGTTACCGTGGAAACAGACAAAAAATATGCCACCAGAATGTAACTACTTGTGCATGGAGTTTTGTACACTTAATTTGCAGATCATACCAAATCGTATTATCAAACATCAACTTATTCAGTAATTTTCTGATGATGACAGATCCTTTGCTATAATATCTACATTAAAAACATTCACGTCAAGTTGTAATGAAGTACCAATAGCTGTTATGATTGGTATGATATTAATCATTACATATTTCTTTTTATATGCCACTCTTTCGAATAGTAGAGACTGATATTCCAGCTGCCATGATTCCATATTGGGCCACATAAAAAATATATGTGTTTCCTTTAGCATGTTTTGAAAATTCAGGGTAGGTATAGAAAAAAAAATTCGCAAACAATTTCATATGACTTACCGGTAAATAGAAAAAAAGGTCTTGACCTTACCAGTGCTCCATTTAGGGTACCTGGTAAGCACAAAAAATATGTGTAGGTAGGGTAAACAGAAACAGAAAATATTATTTATGTGGCCTTGGACATGATTAGTCTTCAAGTTATGCTCCATTTCAGTAAATGAAGAAGCAAGGAATACTTACTTGTGTCTCAAACATTTTCCAATTGATATGTACATCAAATATTTCTTTCTGTCAATTCATCACAGGAACCTGTGTTATTCTCTGGGTCACTGAGGATGAACCTTGACCCCTTAGATAATTATATGGATAGTGACCTCTGGAATGCCCTGGAACATGCACATCTGAAAACCTTTGTCCAATCATTGCCAACAGGCCTTGAATATGACTGTGGAGAAGGGGGACAAAACTTAAGGTTAGTAGTGAGATAATTTGCCAAATACAACAGTATATTTATACATTTATGTGTAAATAACCAGTTTATGAAGGACACTCAGGTTACTATTGTTGTAGTTCTACTAAAGTCTGTGAACCAATTATGTTGTAATTCATGCTCTAATGTCACATGTTTGTTAAAATAGATGGGCATCAAGTTTGCAACAGAATAAAGTCAGGTTGGTTAAATGTTTGTAACTCAGTCTACAAAAACACATACATGCTTTCACACTCCTTAAATGTCTTTTAAAAATTCTAGCAATTTTCATTTAACACTTGCTAATGTCTTATTAATACAAAATTTAAGGAAATCAAACACACAGTAGAACATGTTCAAAATATATATAAACGATGTGGTAAATGGTTGTGTCTTATACATTGGCCATGACACAGTGTTGGACAGAGACAGTTGGTGTGTCTGGCTCGCAGTCTCTTACGTAAAACAAAGATCCTGGTGCTGGATGAAGCCACTGCTGCTGTTGACATGGAAACAGATGACCTTATACAGCAGACTATTCGCACAGAGTTCAAGGACAGCACAGTCCTAACCATAGCTCACCGTCTCAACACTATCATGGATTATAACAGGTATGTTTTAATCTGATACTCAATCTCCACCACTTTCATGTAAATCTACCTGGTATTTAGGCTCTCCCCTCTTAACTCATCAGTTCATTGGTTTACCACTCATTCTAAAAATACATCCGTACAGTGTTTCGTTCTTGATACTGGGTCAGGAAAACGTTTACAGTTTACTTGTGTTGTTGTTCGGTAAAATATGTTTGAGGGATTGAGAAATGACATAGGATCTGTGTTTGATTATAACCAAGATTTCATGTCTTTTTATAGTACAAGATTATGTATTTATGTAATTATTGACTGTGTTTATAAGGAATATACTACTGTTCCAACCATAAAATCTTAAGGTCCAGTTTTTAAACTTTATCATTACACACACCCTTTTTGTCCTGCATTAAGCCCATTCCCATGCCCTACTTTCCCAACCCCCAAATTAATTCAATTTTAGTGAAAGTGCCAGCAACTGTTATATCATTGTAATAAGCCCACCTCCCCTTTATACGTCAGAGGTCGTATCTTGGCCCCCTGGGCTTATTTTAAGATAAATATAGAGTCTTCAGCGTGAGATGGACATGTGCTGTAGAAGTTTTGAAGCATTCTTTCTTTATTTCATTTGGTATTTTAGAATCATGGTACTGGACAAAGGTGAAATCTGTGAGTTTGATTCTCCTGACAATCTCCTTAAGGATACAAGCAGTGTCTTCTACCAACTTGCAAAGGATGCTGGGATTATATGATCATGGAATGGTGCTAGGAAACCTTGGTATAAGTGTGTGCAGCTGTATTTACTGTATTTATAGCATTAAGTACCTGTACATAAAATTAGTCAGGGAGTTGTAAGACATCAGTACAGAGTATATATACTGTTTGTTCTGAGAGTTACATAACACAACTTGATAAAGAAATACCTTTACTTGGTAAGGTCATGTAGGCATTTTAAAAGTAGATAGTAAAAAAATTGTGATATTTTGAATCCATTTCTTATTTTGTATTGTTAGTAGAAAGATTGTTGTATGAGACAAGTTCCATTTGTAATTATTTACCTGATAATATTCCTTGTGATCAGGGAATCATATACCAGAGTGTATTTTCTCTTAGAATAGATAGCAAGATTCGATTGCAGAAAAGCTCAAGTGTCACCGGTAAGTTGGATACTTGTCAACTCGTTTTGCCTCTTAGTTCAAGTCATGACAAATTTTAATGATATTTTCATTCCTGTATTTTATTTGATGAAATTTGTTCGGATGAAACTTTGACCTAAGAGGCAAATCTAGTCGACATATGAAGATAAGTATCAAATGACACTAAAGCTTGTTGTAATTGATTTGTTTTACTTATATATTTTGTTAATCTCCAAGCATACTTTTGGTATTCAAGCTCAAGTACAACACCCCACTGAACAACCTGCCCGCCTTGTAACTGACATTGGCTCAGTTTTTCTGTTTTCTCTGACAGGCAGACAAGTACATTCAAAAGACAATTAATAAAAAGTAATGATCTTCTTTATAATCGCTCAATTAGTGTGATACATTATCACTGACTAGTCTGTTAGATGAGAACAAGCCGTCACATTTTAAGTGTAGACAAGAAACCCTTAACCAATCGACCAATCTTGGTGAATTTAAGTAATCTTACCTCTATTTATTTCAAAATGTCTGACTTCATATTGTCTGTCAATAAACACAAGAAATTTTGTTATGCAAATTGCAGTACATCTGTGTGGGTTATCCTTACCTATCAAATCACACAATGTGTTTTGAAAATGTAAAAGTGTCAGTAAATGAAAGTGATATTGAGTGATTTGTGAGACATAGAGGTACGGTTCTGCCATCTGTATGTCCCTCTTGGAAGGATGAGCAGTCCGTGTTGTCGGAAATTCTGAGTGATACATGGATAATGCATGAGTGATTCAACAAGAATTGTTTAACAGAATGCACTCTATAGATTTCATGTTTCAGTGACACATTTCAGAATTTGTTGAAGATGAATTGTTCAGTCAGTATCTAGAAAAGTGGAAGTGTAACATGCATAATACTTGAAGGAATTGAGATGAAGGGTGGTCTGGTGGTAGGACATTGGGCTGATGATGAAAGGGTGACTAGTGTGACTTCAGGCACAGACACCATATTGTATCCTTGGACTTTGCTTGACTGAATATCTAGAGTATGTGATTGATCAGAGCTGGACATGGTGTGTAGGTTACCTACTGAGTGTGCCAAATTACAGTGAAGGCTGTACGCTCCCCAGGGAATGAAGACAGTTTACAGCTAAAATAAAAAGGCCTGATTACCTTTATTCGTCGACTAAAAGGCTGAAAGGTTGTAATAGTGGATGTAAAACACATTAACTACTGATAATAATTTGATATAGGAATCTCAAATCATTATTATAATGATGCAACAATTTGTTTTTTCTAGGCTTGAGCAATCATTTGTAAATAGCCCAATTGTGATGTGGTGGGTGTGAAGACTGATTCCCTGAGCATAATATTTGTTTCTTACTTCATAATTATCTGACTTTCAAATGAGTATGAAATAAGGTAGAGAGATATATTTAGAAATTTGTCACTGCATGTTGTATTTTTTCTTTACAGTTGTGTAATCAATTTTGTATAATTGAGTTATTATTAACTGAAAGCATCTTTATGAAATTGAAACTTTCATGTTTTTTTAGATGCCAATGAAGAACAGTCTGTACATTGTTTCTTATTTCCATTTGTCATTTTTTCAATCTGTAAAATTTTCATTTTGAAAAAGATTAAAAATTATTATCATGTTTGAACTGAGTAAATGAATCTTCACATTTAATCTGTATTTATTTGATCATATGAAAGATCAAACATTCACCAACCTTATGTTAAATACCTAACCCAAGCAAAGCTGCGGTATTTACATGTTGAAGTCCTAGAATCTAGTAGTATTTAGACTACTAGACTATAAACTTGTGTCTATATTTCTAATCTAGTTCATCTTTACATTTGGATCATGATTAAACTGAAAAGTTCTGGATGTTGATTCTTCAGGTATGACAACATGTTTATGTTGATTTAATAATTTGAGTCGACTCTTGTGAGATCTACTACATAAACAATATATATATATTTTTTAATGAAATCAAAGATTAGTATCCACATAAAGTGGACATTATCAAAATGAATTCCTTAACTGGAATTTCTTTTTACTGAAGACTTGCTTAACATATGATTGATTTTTATACATTATTATGGATAATACTTGAAGAATAGAAATGTTTTGGGAAAAAGCTTCACTGGATTAATATTTGTGAAAAACAGCTTGTTACGAGATATTTCTACTCTAAATAACATATCAACTTATCATCACTTATTGTTTCTGTTTTGTCTTCTCTCTGACTCTAATTATTTCTGTTCTTCAGATGATTTTTTTATGTTGTATATTCTACTTGTTTGGCAACTTCTACCTCCAACACCTTTGTCGGCTCGAAGGAAAATCTTCCACATAGTCCATATTACCAAATGTTTCTGGTTGACTTTTTTTTAACTTGCTCAAAGGTTTTCTGTTTGAGTAGCCAGCTAACCAATGACAATGATAACTTTAACCCTGTAGGGCCAAAATTGTCCCACCATCTGATTATCCAGCGACTTTTGCTGGAACAAAGTATCTAGATCACCAAGGGAAAATTGTCCCACTGTCTGATCTGTGATTTTTTCTTTGCAATTGATTTGCCTGTTTACCTGTTGTAATAACGATCATATTTCAATCATATTTACTATTTATATGTAGGTTAAGTAAAAGTTATTTTTATCTTGATTCCTGAAAAAAATGTACAATAGCATTTGAAGTTATTGCTCAGATATTGTGTACCGAGATTTTATTTTTCAATCCAGCCCATTGTTTTGTTATCATATTTGTATACAATTGGATGATATGATCTTTATCTACATAAAGGCAATGTGTAAGGTTATAATGAAACAACATTTATATACAGATGCAATGCATGAAAATTACCTACATTATATGAATAGATTATTGTAGGCATTATTTGTTATAAGGTGAGATGTTCATGGACATATCTGACAAGGGAGACAAATCTGTAACAAGAAAAAAATTGTAATTAGTGTTTTTGTCCTTTTTATGTTAAATTGTGATGAAAGATTTCTGTTAAACTTATTTGAGAACTAGAGTGTTTGAAGACAGGCAATAATTCTTGTGCCATTCCTTTGTTGATGTTTACAAATATGTTAATTTTCATGGGTGTTATCATTTCATGTATCTGTATAACTGTATTTTAAATTTATCATTAACAAATCTCAACCCAGGGGTAATTAATATATACCAGAATATACACTGTTAGCAAGTCTCTGTTTTTGGTATTCAAGAATTTGTTTATTGTTACCTTACATCCTATCGGCAGCCAGGGTCATTTAAGGAAGTTCTAGGTTTGTGTGGTGGAGGAAAACAAGAGTTCCTACAGAAAAACCATCAATCTGTGGTTAGTACCTGGAGACTGCCCCTTGTAGGCCTCAAACCTGTGACCCAGATGTGGAGGGCCGGATTTAAACAGTTAGATGCCTTAATCGCTCCTGGTCCCCGTTTAGATGGGCAAAATAAATTATCTTTATATAACATAGAACAAACATCTTAATGCACTTGAATGTGATAGAATTACAACTGGTCTTTGGATCAGAGGCACTCATAAGATGTTCAATACATACAACAACAAAGTCTATTTACAGTGTATAAGCTTATAAATGTAGGTTCTGAGATGGTAAGAGCAAGTTTTGAATTTCCTAGTGGGATAATTTAAGCATCAGCTTTCTATTGTACAAACACTCTATGATAGAATTATATACAATATTACTCAAGAAGATATTAATTTGCTATTATTATTTTGTAGTTGAAAGTTGTTGTTTTCTCCTGTTTAATTATCGGTATAGTCACCAATGTGTGGTTTCACTCTGATTATTTCATTGATATTTTTGTAGCTCCAACTTATAGTACACAAAATGACATATAATTTTTATTTCAATTATTCCTTTCACTAATTTTTCTGACCTCCTTACCAAAGATGAGAAAATTTTTACTCACCCACTTTCTGACCAATAATCCCATAGAGGCCAATTCTTTCTGACCAATAATCCCATAGAGGCCAATTCTTTCTGACCAATAATCCCATAGAGGCCAATTCTTTCTGATCCACTTGTCCACTGAAGGTACTTCCATGTGAATTACTTGCCCTGTAGTGGCTAATTTCTAACCCAATAATCCTTTAGGGGCTAATTCCCTCTGACCCACTAACCCAGTTGAGGCTAAATCTTTCTTACCCAGTGGGGGTAATTGCTTCTTACCGATTAACCTAGTAGGGACTATTTCCTTCTGACCCAATAACCCAGTAGGGGCTAAATCTTTCTGACCTAATAACCGGTGTTGTTTTTGTAGCTGTAGTTGTTATATTTTTTTTATTTTACATTATTTTTATACTGTTGGCGTGTGATTATAACTTTATTAAACAGATAGCTGTAAGAGAACCTTTTGTACAGTAAATGTTTCCATATACTGGTGCATCAGTTACTGTATTTATGCTGTAATAATCTCGGATAGCAAATGCATCACTTCTTACTCAAAGTGTTGGGGGTGGGCTTATTAGAGAAATAGCTTTTGTTTGTCATTTTATTAAACTTTATGATAATTGGGTAGGGATAGGGGAGCTTAATACCAGGCTTATTACAGGATAAATACATGAAATGATATGCATAATAATTAAGTGCAACATTATCTCCACTATGTAGACATAGTGGATTGATATTTTCAGTGATAAGCACTTTGAATTTATGCAATTAGTGCTGAGATGTAAAAACCATTAAATTTTTTGCAGTATATAATTGTGATTCTGTAGTTACTGGGTTTGTAATCTTTGATAAACACTTTCTTTGTTATGTTCTATACAATGTTCTACACAATGTACAATAGAGAGATAAAGTGTATAAACAATAAAATACTTCATTGCCTTTGCCTGATATTTTGTTGTGCTTGGTTCAATCTGTATTGAAGTCAAGACAATACAATACAGAAAAGATTATATTAGTCTTGACCTCTATTCATTTTATTGCCCAATCAACAGCCATGGTCATTTTGAGGTGGGGTCTCCCTGTAACTAGTGGCTACCTGACTGAACAACAAATTGGATATCTGTTACATCTTCAGAAGCAATTAGGGTAAAGAATGTTACAGAGGACACAACCACATTAACAGCCTATTATCTCTGCTTCTGTTGACATGCAGACTATTTTGAGTGACACTCTAACTACATCGTTGTTCGTCAGTTGAGGTTACAAAGTTTGATTCTATACCACTGAGTTATCGATGTCCAAAATAATGATGCAACAAATGTAATTGTTGAAAACACATACTTTATTAGTGTTGAACAACTTTTGATGTAAATAACCTTAAAATAATCACAGTGAAAATAAAACTCTCATTACAATCATTCACACATCTCAAGATTCCATAAAATTCTCTAAAAGGTGTTATACACTAATGTTTCAAATATCTAGTAACCTAAGTCACTATCAGTTGCACACGTAAACAGCCCATAATGTCAATTTCGTTACTTTCAGTTTTCACAAAACATATTTAAACTCGCAAACATAATATCATCTATACAGAAATCTCGTGGTCATGACTTCCCACCAGAAATTGTGTCATCTTGTGATGTGGTAATTTCTTTAAGTCTATCACTTTCTTCCTTTCTCTTTTTCTTGATTTCATCTTGCTGTACCAAGTAATCAGCAAGTTCTTTTAGAGTCGCAAAATCACTACGACCTTGTTCACTCTCGTCCTTCTTAGGAATTATAGGCATCTTTGATTGGACAGCAGCAGTGAACTCTTCCATCTGATAAACAAGTCACACAAAAAATGACAGTAGTACTAGGGATAATTCACCATGAAAACATCTGGCATATAGAGCAGGTCTATAATGTGTTGTGAATGGCAGGTGGACAGTAGTACTAGTGATAATTCACCATGAAAACATATGGTATATAGAGCAGGTCTATAATGTGTTGTGTATGGCAGGTGGACAGTAGTACTAGTGATAATTCACCATGAAAACATATGGTATATAGAGCAGGTCTATAATGTGTTGTGAAAGGCAGGTGGACAGTAGTACTAGTGATAATTCACCATGAAAACATATGGTATATAGAGCAGGTCTATAATGTGTTGTGAATGGCAAGTGAAGGTTATAAGACTTTAACAGAGTAAAAACACATACACTATATGAGTGCTGAGAAGAATTGTCGCTTATCACCTTCGGGGCAAGTTATAATTATCAAGGCAATATACATTGTACCAAGGCATGTCAGCTTGTCACCTTTATTCACAACAGCGGTGGTAGGTAGGAAATGAGATGTAACGGCCATGATCATTCATGGTCATGTTGAATTTTAAAGAAAACTTAAAATTGTTTATAATTTTTTGTCATGATATGCATTTAACCAATAATCAGTGGTTAGCTCAACACTAATAAAGATCGCCCACATATTCAAGAAAAAGTTCAAGAAAGTACAGTGAAGACCACTTAAAAAATAAACCTGATCATTAAAAAAAACCTCTCAAATAAAAGTTTCTCTCAAAGTTGCTGACAGAATTTAAAGCCAGTCTAAAACAATAAAATCTTACTCTCTATAACAAGTCTATTAGATGCATACCTAGGATATGATCTTTTCAAATTTGTATATACCGCACTGACATTTCCTTAATTGTAGGATTGTTTTAAGTAGATTTGTTACATAGTTAAGAAATCATCAGCTACATTTCAGATTATCCAATGGTGCTATCGGATTTCCTAAGAAATTACTGCTAAAATATGAAATATTGCTTTGAAGTAAATGATGCCCTGTTTCAATTAGATAAATATTACATTAGAATGCAGTTTACAGCTAAAATCAACTATTTCATAACTCAAATTCTCTTTCTGGTTGTTTTTTTATCTATAAAGTTTTATGCATTTGGATTTAAAGAATCCACTTTTTTAAATTCTGTTTTAAGTATCCTATGAATCAACCTTAATCTCCACTCCATAAAGCTGAATTAAAATGTTTATCTATAAGTACATTAAACATTCTGGGATCAAGAAACAGCAGGATTCAACAAGATTATTTAAGTCCAAACTGGAATGTTACTGAATATTTCAGTTCTTTTGACAATACAAAATTTTAATGGGATATACATAATGCATCTTGCTAATATGTACAATGTACCGGTATATTGTTTTCATCAAATTCATTGATAAAATGATGTTTAAGTAAAACATCTGACCACTGGACTGAAAATTTTGAAAACTTTTGATCAGGTTCTTCTCACTTACATTATGAACACCCAACATTTTCCAAACACCAAAAGATATAAGTCCAACACCTGAGAAAGCTAACAGTGTGCCCCAGCGAAAGGCTTTTGCAGCAAGAGCATGTCCAGTGACCTGCTTCCCCTTGGCATGATCTAATGAACCCTGAAATATAAACAAGTAAGTAAATTATCATGATCAAAGTAAATATTTCATTTAATTTATGAATAACTGTTTAGATAAGCATTGGTATTTGTTGTAACAATTTTTTTGAAATTCAAAAAATTGCTTTTTATATCCATTGTAGTGTAAAACTATATTTCCTTGTGACGTGATTATCTTGACAAGTGTCATTCAGCATAAAGTCAACATCAGAAATAAACAAACTGTTGAAAATATGACAGTCTGAATTTTCAATAAAAGTTGCAGGGTATATAGAATACATGGTAAGTGTCTTAAAATACATAAGCAACATACAGGTTATATTTTAAGACACTGACCATGTATTCTCCATATACCACATACCATCTATGTACTTAGTAAAATATTATTATGAGACTTCAATTAAATGAAATAGCTAATGATTCTGTCAAAAATAAATATTCATTTAAATCTTTTTTTATTATAAGAAACAGACCACATTCCCAGCAAAGAAATTTGCCATGATCATTAAACACCAACCTTTTCATAAGAAGAAGGATCTTGTTTTTTAGTCAATGCCAATGCTCCAGTAAAGCCAAGGACAGCAGACACAACTGTGGTCAAGGTGAGGAACACAGCACCTACAAAATAGGTATAAAACATCAAAATACTACTGTGCATATAAGATCACAACATATAACCTCTATGCAGGTTTCCTTAACAAACAACCTCAGAACAGATCCCCATGGTAATAAATGATCTCTGTACTTATCTCTATAACAACAGATGACCTCTGCACAGGGACTATTAGAAATGACGAAATTAGAGCAGGTCTCCAAAGTAATATATGACCACTGTACAGATCTTCATTATGTACAACACATTAAAATGCAAAGGTTGCCATAGCAATAAACAGATTGCCTCTGTACTGGTCCCAGATATCGAGCCATAAAAAGGATTGGTCACATAGGCTTCAGTTCTGCTCCTCAGGTTTATTAATTGGATATTGCCAAAACTTGTTTGAATGATCCCTACAAAGTGCACGTGGAGATCAAATGTACAAGGTGCTCCCAACAAGTGGCTGTTTCCTCTGTGGGCAGAGAACTTCTCTAAAAAGATACTATAGATAGTGTGTTTTATGAGAGGCCCTCTACTTTTTGCTTGGTACAGGTTTTATTTGTTGTTATAAGAGTTTACTTCTATATATAAATGTACTACATATGCAAACTGTAAAACACTGGCCTGTAACTTGGTTCAAGTTTTAAAGTTTTTGTAAATTAAAACACAATGCTGAAAGAAAATATTCTACTTATAAATTCCTTGTTCCAAGACCTCGATTTTATAACAAATCCTGATTGATCAATGTGACTTTTAAACTAAGAATAAACTTCTGTCTAAATTTTCAGGTTTATTGCAGTATACATTTGTGATAATGACGGTTAATATATTTTATTTCAATGAAGGAAAAATCTTCACTTATGTTCACTTCGCAGTGTTACAATACCAATGCAAGAATGTAGTCAACGATAGTCGGTTATAATGACACATGTTGCTAAGTATCTACTGTAAAGTATTCTAGTCATTTGACAAGCCATCATCATCTGATACATTGTCTTGTATATGGGGTTCATGTTACGTGTCTGGAGAACATACCAGCCGCAACAGACTCTCTTTTTTTCACTTGTTTAGATTCTACATGCGAATGCTGAAAATCGGAAGCATGATTTCCACTGGAGGTCGCCATGTTTGTTGACAATGTCAAGGTCTTTATGAGGAAACATATTAAGTTATTTGACACAAAAATCTGTTATCTAATGCTATAATTTGAAATATTTTTCCTGGAAAATGCTTCTTAACATAACCTTATAACGTTTTCTTTGTCTTCTATTTTTCTTCATTGCTAATGTTTATACGCGCATGCGTTGTGCATTTATGATCAACAACAAATGGTGGTTTCCTGTACAACAGAATGGATATCATTATGAAGAAATTTATCTCAAGATTGAGTATATGTGCAAACCTTTCGCGGAGATCACACTGACTTTTACTTCTATAATAGTTTATTTACCTGTTGATATCATGCTAAGATTATCAGATTTAACCTGAAAGGGTACGACGGGTAATGAAAGATCCTACGTATGTGGCTGTCCCAATGAATCCTCACGATATCGCACATAAAAACAAGAACCTTCCCAAATCTTTACGGAATTGGGAAGTGTTCCCAGGGAAGAACAAATTCTGCTGTAATGGCAGGCTTATGATGGCCAGACAGACTGGCATATTTTACTTCACATGCACCTTAATCACTGTGACATGCGGCCTATTTTTCGGTTTCGAGTAAGTAATAACAATATTGGGTGTTCAGTAACCTTTTGATTACGAAATACTGTGTAATGTCACGCTCTAAGAATACATATTTTCTATTTCTCCGCTCACACAGAATATCTCATTTTCATAAACTAGTCAAGTGCTTAATTGAGACTATCTAGATTGATTTTGACTTTCGAAAGAACATTTGATTGTATCTTTGGGACATCAAATGTAAATATTACGAAATTACATAGGTCGTTGAACACCATGGTGAGAGTGAAATGTTATGATGTCATTTATGTGATAGTACATATTATTTCAATGTTCTTTCATTTTCTTTTCTATTGGTCATGCATGTTCATAGACTCCTGACAATATAAAAGTCAGAATTATTCAGACTATATGCATGATTGTAAGACTGCTTCTATGCATCTACTCATGAATAGGTCATATGAATTTTGGTTTTATCACTGGAAAGGGGACAAATCCATGGTCTTTTCTCCAGTAGATGCAAAAATAGGCATATTATCCTCATTCTGAAATAGTTTGAGTCATAAAGTGAAGTTAACGTTGCAATATCAAAAGAATCAGCAAAAATTGACATAAGAAGATTTTCTTTCGATTCTTCTGTTTAAATTTGCATGTAGCTAGTCGTATTGAAATATTGCTCCTTTCAACTATTGATGATGTCAAGTCTGTCCACTTTAATTTCTAGGTAAGTCTATGTAAGTTGGAATCAGGATGAAGGCATGTAAAAAAGGTTTTTTAGGTCATCTGACCCGAAGGGTCCGATGACCTATAGTCATCATGCTTCGTCCGTCGTCGTCTGCCGTGCGCCGTCCGCCGTGCGCCGTCCGTAAACTTTTCATTCAAACGACTTCTTCTCAAATACTAGAAGGTCTAGGGGGCTAATACTTGGCACAGAGGATACTGGCATGGAGCTCTACCAAGTTTGTTCAAATGAATGACCTTGACCCACTTTAAAGGTCACAGGGGTCAAATATGTTAAAATCTTTAAACAACTTCTTCTCATTAACCAAAAGGCTCAGAGTGTAGATATTGGGCCTGTGACATGCTGGGATGAAGGACTACCAAGTTTGTTCAAATGAATGACCTTGACCCACTTTAAAGGTCACAGGGGTCAAATATGTTAAAATCTTTAAACAACTTCTTCTCAATAACCAAAAGGCTCAGATTGCTGATATTGTGCCTGTGGCATGCTAGGATGAAGGGCTATCAAGTTTGTTTAAATGAATGACCTTGAACAACTTTCAAGGTCACAGGGGTCAAATATGTCAAAATCTTTAAATAACTTCTTCTCAAATACTAGAAGGCCTAGGGGGCTAATACTTGGCCCATAGCATGCTGGCATGGAGCCCTACAAAGTTTGTTCAAATGAATGACCTTGGCCCACTTTCAAGGTCACAGGGGTCAAATATGTTAAAATATACAAAGGACTTCATCTCAATAAGCAAAAGTCTATGAGTGCCGATATTGGGTCTGTAGCATGCTGGGAGGAAAGGCTACCAAGTTTATTTAAATGAATGACCTTGAACAACTTTCAAGGTCGCAGGGGTCAAATATGTCAAAATCTTTAAATAACTTCTTCTCAAATACTAGAAGGCCTAGGGGGCTAATACTTGGCCCATAGCATGCTGGCATGGAGCCCTACAAAGTTTGTTCAAATGAATGACCTTGGCCCAATTTCAAGGTCACAGGGGTCAAATATGTTAAAATATACAAACGACTTCTTCTCAACAAGCAAAAGTCCATGAGTGCTGATATTGGGCCTGTAAGATGCTTGGAGGAGAGGCTACCAAGTTTGTTCAAATGAATGACCTCAACCCACTTTCTAGGTTTGGCTTGCTTTTTGTCAGATGACCGTTAAGGCCCATGGGCCTCTTGTTAATGTTTCTTTGTATGTATCGTCTGTCAACCTTATTGTTTACATGGATGCTTGATGTACATAACTGAAATTCATTGTATTTCTTAATATTCTTACAATACTGACACTGATAAGACTGGGAGGGTAAAGGAAGTATCAGAACATGTTTCAAAGACACAGCAATCATTCTTAGAGATATTGCTATAACACTAAATAGCATCTGTATACATGTATCGCTACAACACAAAATGACAGGCCTTTGATCTTAGGGATGACCAAGTGTTAAAGTGTAGCAGAATTACAGTACATGGTTACCATCTGGTGTATATTTTTTGGTCTATAATCTGTTTACCATGTTGTTACACTATTTTCGACCTTAGTGTACATAGGATTATAGTACAGCCGAAAACTTTTATTCTTTGGAATGTCCTTTGTGTACAAGTATCACTACAACACAAAATGTCCTTTGTATACATTGTATACAGGTATCACTATAACACAGAATGTCCTATACATACAGGTATTACTAAAACGAAAAATGTCCTCTATATACAGGTATCACTACAACAGAGAATGTCCTATGCATTCAGGTATCACTATGACACTAAATGTCCTTTATACAGAGGTATCACTATAACGCTTAACTGTCCTTGATATAGATGTACCACTACAACACTAAATGTTCTTTACAAACAGGTATCACTACAACGCAGAATGTCCTTTGTTTACCAGTATTACTGTAACATCGAATGCCTTATATATACAAGTATCACTACAACCCAAAATGTCCTCATTATACAGGTATCAATTCAACAATAATGTCCTCTACATACAGGTATCACTAAAACTAAATGTCCTTTATGCAGAGATATCATTATAACACTGATTGTCCTTTACATACAGGTGTCACTACAACACAGAATGTCCTCAATATACAGGTATCACTATAACACAGAACATTCTCTATATACAGTTATCATTATAACACAGAATGTCCTCTGTACAAAGGTATCACAACACAGAATGTCCTCTGTACAAAGGTATCACAACACAGAATGTCCTCTGTACAAAGGTATCACAACACAGAATGTCCTCTATACAAAGGTATCACAACACAGAATGTCCTCTATACACAGGTATCACAACACAGAATGTCTTCAATAAAAAGGTATCACTACAGAATGTCCCAAATATACAGTTTTTGCTATCTTGCTGAATGTCCTGTGTACACTTGGGCTGTTTTTTAGGCAGGGTCTATTTATAATAGTTAGTGGCATGCTGAATAACATGTTGGAGGCTAGGCCAGCAGAATCCTATATAGAGCAGTTGAGGGAAAGAGTCTTGCCTGAGGTTGAAGTGTAATTGTTGCTGTACTTAATGAATTACTGTGGCCCCTACATCAGAGCAATAAGGGTTGTTTGACCTTAATGCATAAATGTGTTGATACCAACTTATCAGATATGTCAAAAAAGTATAGTACATTTATATCACAACATCCTCATATTCAATATCTATTCTATTGTTATATCCAGTGACCCTTGACTTTCATATACATGTTCAATTTAGTGACCTTTACCATGCATCATACCTAGCTACCAATCCAAATTTGACATTCACAGTCAATGCAAGGGTCCCCACTATACTAGGTACCAAGTAGTATTCATAGAGACCTTCACAATTACAGTATGCAATATGCATTGTTTTTTGTCTGTTTCAGCTGTCCTTACCTGGCCACCAATGTTACCCCAGCCATACCTGCCATAGGGGCAGCATTGTTTATCTTTGTGATGGCCACATTATTTCGCACCAGCTTCAGTGATCCAGGGGTCATCCCTAGGGCAACTCCAGATGAAGCTGCTGACACGGAGAAACAAATTGGTAAGTTAACCACATTGATCAGTTTCCTTACCTACAAAATGTAGGATGCATGGATAGTTTTATATTCAAGTTATTTACGGTATTTCATTTTAAAATTCCTTCAAGATATTGTTAAAAATCTCCAGCTAATTGTATTCATTATGAAATCCTAATAGTAATTGTTGCAGAGATTGTATTGTAAGCTTATTTGAAATTGAATGATAATTCCTTTTGAATCATTTAAATCTGGCTTCTGGACAAACACCTGATCATTTTTTGACTTTGTTTTCCAGAAATCCCGAGTTCAACGTCTCCGGGTACCTATAGGCCACCACCTCGGACTAAAGAGGTGGTCATCAAAGGTCAAGTAGTCAAGCTTAAGTACTGCTTCACCTGTAAGATATTCAGGCCACCTCGGGCCTCCCACTGCAGTCTTTGTGACAATTGTGTCGGTAAGTTATTCAATATTTCTTGTTTATAAATCTGTAAGGTTCCTTTGCCAAAACAGTAGATTTGCTTATCTGTTTAAGCAAAAATAACATGAGACTGTACACAACTTTAACTTCAGATTTTGTTAATATGTCAGTATTTTCTTGTTTTAATACTACAATGAAGCCTGCTTAACATCATGTTGCATTTGTCACAGGGAAATGTGATAATAAGCGAAACAAGACATTATAAGTGGACACATATGTCCAGACATCTAAACCCTGGAAATTAATTTTCAGTAGCGCCTAACTGGCTTATTTCTAACAGAAATTGTTTGAAGACAATAAATTTGTAATTTGATTTGTTTCTCCCATAAGAACATTGATTTTCCTTTACTTTTGTTTGTTTATTCTTTGAAATATCTAAGCTGCCATCATAAATTATCATGAACAATTATGACAATTCATGTCATTTTCAGTTAACATGCAGGCAGATTTGGTGTGACAATACCATATCATTAGCTGATGTTTTGACGTATAATTTATTCATCCTACTGTATAGGCATCATAATGGTGTATCATCACAAAGTTGATACATATACGTGTATGTCTGCAACTTCAATCAAATGTGTTCTGAAGATTGCTACTGCAGCTTTGCCGACAAAAATAGCCAACAGAGTGGGATCTGTTCACCTTTGTAACGCCACGTTTCATTGGCTGTTAAATTTGTAGTTATTTTTAATATCCAATCACATAGGGCAAAGGGAAAACCTGGTATTAGAACATTTTGTTGTCACCTTACCAGTGCTTTTGGTAATTTAAACAATAAATTATTTGAAGAAATATTGAAACGTCGACATTCTGATAATATGACCAATTGAGTTTCTAATCTTCATTTCATAAGATACATAAATAAGCATCCCAGTGAAGCTTTTCTGGCACGTGTGATAATTTTCTTTGGTATATTTTTCTAAATCTAGACTTCATTTCACAAAACTGAAAGTTCAAACCGGCTCTTTTAGCATTTTAAGCTTTGTATCAGAAATGTAATTTATCACCAAATTTTTTCAGGATTGGAAATAAAGATTAAAAAACCTTAAGTTTTGAATATGTTGCCTGTTCGTAAAAGAAAAGAAATGAGTGTTTGCATATATTACACAAACCATGTTCAGTAAATATGTTGACTAAGGTAATTTTGCTCTGTGTCATTTCAATAACTGAAGTTCCATTATATTCAAACAAAACACAATATCTGCGTTCAGTTTTATCACTATTTAAAGTTGCCACAGATGAGGACACAAGTGTTAGAGATAGTTGTAAATGGTGATACACCTCATTTGTCTAAAGCTAACAAAACAAGAATTAAACATTAGGACACAACTGTTGGAGTTAGTTGTAAATGGTGACAGACTTCATTCGTCTAAAGGTAACAAGATTTAGACATTAGGACCAACTGTTGGATTTAGTCATAAATGATGACAAACCACATTCGTCTAAAGCTAAAAAGAGTTAGACATTAGGAAACAGCTGTCATAGTTAGTTGTAAATGGTGACTGACTACATTTCTGTAGGTAACAAGATTTAAACATTAGGACCAACTGTTTGATTTAGTCGTAAATGATGACAAACCACATTTGTTTAAAGCTAAAAAGAGTTAGACATTAGGAAACAGCTGTCATAGTTAGTTGTAGATGGTGATCAACTACATTTGTCTAAACCTAGATACTTTTCGTGTTCGTTGTAGATGATGAAGGAAAATGTCCATCTAAAACTAACAAGAGTTAGGCATTGGGACATAAACAAGTATTAGTTGTAGATGATGGCAGACAAAATCCATGCATCTAAAGCTTACCAGAGTTAGGCATTAGTACACAACAAAGTGTTAGTTGTATATGCTGACAGACAAAATCCTTGCATCTAAAGTTTATGAGAGTTAGGCATCAGAACACAACTGTTGGTGTTAATTTTAGATGATGATAGACCACATCTGTCAACAGCTTACCAGTGTAAGAGTTTAGGACATAATTGTTTTGTGCTATTTTAGTTGTAGATAATGACAGACCATAAACATCCTAAGCTTACCAAAGTTTGTCATTATAATTAGGACACACAAAAAATGAACTTGATATTAATTTTTATATATCCTTTTTTGCAACAAGATCTCCAAACTTTTTACACATTATACATTGGGTTTTTTTTTGTCCTTCCCAAACACACAGAGGAGTATTTGTTTTCAAGACCTACATTTCATTATTACATTATTATAGGCAAAATAAAATTGTACCATTTCAGGATCAAACTTATCAACTTCCCTAGAATCTTTGTAAAACCTTTATGGTCAACTGTTACATGTTTTATTGGAAAATTGATTACCAAAAGTACAAGTCCATACACAACTATAAATCAGACAGGTTTCTGAATCCTATAACGGCCTCTGAATTCTTAATTGTATTGATTTCTTTGTTTTATTGTTGATCTGTTTGTAAGGATTATAATGTAATCGGTTAAAGTTTGTAAAATAATTGAATATCTCAACAATTTTCCAAACTATTTGACGATTTTATTGAGCAAGATTCTTTCATTTCTGTAATGAAGCTGTCTTGATTATTACTGAATAATTAAGGATTTTTGGTGAAAGGAATCAAAATTTGAAATGATATTGTTGAATTTTCACAGCATGATATGTCATAATTTATCATACTAATGGTACTCCGAAATTACCTTTATCATGTTTAGGAAGCCTGGATTATTGTAAGATAATTAATGAAACTGAGAATGATCCTGATAAAATTTGGTCTCTGATAAACAATGTTGATGAATCATTATCTTATAACATCGTACTCTGCACTACTTTCATTTGACCAGCGTTGAAAGTATGCGACTCCCGAAAATAAATCAAGTTTGTTTCTTTGATCTAGTTTGACAATTATTTTGATATGTGATTTGAATCACGATGTTTTAAAAACAGAAAATCATTTTGACATGTAACTTGAATCTCCATGTTGCATAGAAAGCCTATGTTGTATGTTTAATGTCATATATGTACAGGTCAACTGGAATTCCTATATGTAATATGAATATTCCAGTGATTGTATGTAGTTGAAAAAATGTTGGCATCAGTACAGAATAACTAATATAAACAGAGTACATGGATGTAGCATACATATATTAATGCATTATCAGGCCTGTGGGGTCATACAGCTGTGAACAAGTGGCTAGGTTTAATGTATTCAGGATTAAATTAATTTTTATTATTCGATAGTTCTGTTTCATGTGTCTGATTTTAAATGCAGAAAATGTGACTTTTGAATATCTTTAATGTCTGTGAATGTGGAGAAAAAGTCTGAATGTCTGATCAATATAACCTGAAATACCAAATCTTGATCAATATGGTTTCTACAACCTGCCTTCCCATTTATAGACTGCTGTGTGTGATTCCCATTGATTTCAGTTATTAGCTTTACTTGCTGGTATCTGGCTATATTTTATCAGGCCATATCCTCTGATTGCCTAGGTACCTGTTTAACAGTCTGATAATCTGGATATCTTTGGAATTTGATCACATTTCTCCTGCAAATACTCAGCTTGATGTACTGTTCTGTACACCTATACTGGGCAACTTTTGCCTGTTTTGCTGTTTAGCCTTGGATATGTTTTTTAACATTGCAAGGTGGCCCAGTGGTGAAGGCATTTGACTCTCTATGACCACTAGCCCTCCACCTCTGGGTCACAGGTTTTAGGTCAACTTTGGGCAGTTGCCAAGTACTGGCTGCAGGTCAGTAGTTTCTCTCTAAGAACTGTGGCTTTCCTTCACCAACCAGACCTTCTTGACCCTGGCTGTTAAAAGTATGTAAAGAAACAATAAACAAACAGATATAAACAATTAAAGAATGCCTGCTTGATTTTCCAGAGGATATTAGTGCATTTATGTTAAGAACAATATACTTACTACAGGTGTATATATGTATTGTTCATTATCACTTTATAATTTGGATTTTAACAACTACATAACATATTTTCTTGGATATAAGCCACAGATTTTTTCCTTGTCAGTTGGACATGTGGTTTATATACCAGTGTGGTTTATATAATGATGGAGAATAAATCGACAGAATGGAGGGGGAAAAATATTGTCTGGACATTGGCACATGACTGTTATGTATTTCGAAACGGCCATTTTGTTGAGGTGTATCAAATGCACTGTTGACCTGCTTGACAGTGCACCCTGAAGATTTTGGTGGCTGTAGTATGTCATGCTTCCAGAAAGAAGAGATAATAGTGATATTAACCAAAGATACCAGTACACCAGTATGAGATGTCGGTACTAAGTTTTTATACGCCGCCGGAGGCGTATATCCGTACATCCACTTCTTGTGAATGCATGTCCTCCTAAACTAATCATCAGATTTTCATGAAGCTTGCTCAATGTCACTAATACAATGGTTCAGTGTGCATGATGGAGTGTTTTTACGGTTCATTGATTTTTATAAGATTTATGCCATTTTCAACTTTGTATCTGTAGCTTGCTCATAGTGGAGATTTGTGAACACAACTCCTCCTAAATTAATGATCAGATTTTCATGAAACTTGCTCAATGTCACTACTAAAATGGGTGGATGTGCTGGAAGTGGCGATTTTACGGTTCTTCTTGATCTTTATATTTTGTGGCGGCGTATATTGTGTCCATGGCACTCTTGTTTTTACGAATACCTGATCATCACGTGTTTGTGACTGAAAGATTTTCTAGTACTGTCTTTTGCAACCATATACAGGATGATTTTAATATTGAAATGAAAATAGCTTTCCCCTGGATTTAACTATATCTTTTAATATGAATCACAACAATATCTTCTGAACTTTCGTGGTTGCTTCGGAAGCCATAGCAGAAGTTTACAATAACCTTTTGCATCCTGTGATGGATAAGGTTATTGGGTCAAATTATATAGACACTGATAGAGATATTGTTAAGTAAACCGTACCTAATGCCAGGCTCTATATCTGTGAGTAGATAATCTTAGAAGGCTCGCCATCCAAATGAGTTTGATAATTGCTATTTTACGTTATAAGGATTATCTGTATATAATCCATTTGCTAACTTATAATAAAAGTTTCACTGATGATCTTAATAAATTGCCTTCCATTGCAGATTATATTCTGGTGCAGTTATATGTGAATTAAATGAAAAAAATCATTAAAAATTGGCTCTTTGGCTTATTGACAGTGGGGTTTATAACCCGGAAAATATGGTAGTTTAGTTTATTGCTTGTGCACGTTGTCAATTGTGTCTAGAAATAAAGGAATTCAGGGGAAAGAAAGCAATGCTTTTATATTTTTTGACCATAAAAAGTATTATTTCACAATCAAGATTAGTCATAAAACTACCCAAGATAAGTGTCATTTCACAAACTACATAAATTTTGTGAATGTTACATCGTTGAGAATAGTCATCTAGCAGAGTTACGATTGGCTGTAGCTAGCTAGGTTACCATTGTTTAATGTTGACTCCACAAAAGGAATTTATTTCAAATGAAAGGTGGCATCAAAAAGTAAGGGAGAGTGTCAGCAGGTTTAATTTCAAGCCTCTCATGGTGTATTGATTCACAGATCTTCACATCATATCTTGATTGTTACATAGAATAATTACAGATTTCCATTCTGTATGACAAAATTTCCATTTAAACTTGCCAGCGGCTCTTTTTTATAAGAGAAAAAGGTCATACAAAATGTTAAATGTAAGATTCTGTATTGAATGTTACATACTTTTAACTGTATTTACAAACTTAATGAACAAATTGTATAATCTTAGTCATAACAAGCTGGCCTTGAGTATCTATTCTCTAGCCATGTATTATAGATATTGATTGGTGATGGTCTAGCATCATATGAGTGGTATGAAACACTGATGACAAATCATCGCCTTGAGTCATGTTATTTCTCAGTGGTGTTCGGTTTAATTTACCAACTACAATTGTCATCGGCTCTTCATTTATAGTCATGAATTGATAATGAATTACATTAACAATGCATTAGTCTGAGCGGGATGAGATATTTGATAAAAAGTCTCACCCGTTAGGCTTTTGAATCAATTATTCCATTGTGTCAGATTGTATTGAATTGTGCCTTACTGCCTCCTTAACACCCAATATAATATCATCTTTTGCATTAGATAGCCTCAGACAGTGTCACTTGTTTTAGGTTGTAATACTAAAATTTTATTGAAAGATCACAGAGTAACAGACAGCTCATTTGCTGAACAATGAATTATTGCGTTTGTTGTTTAGAACAGTGATGCATTATACAGTAATACTATGTTAACCAGCTAATAGTCTGTGACAATGCCACCTTGTTCAAATATGAAATTATACTTACCATCTAGAAAAAGTTTTCATCGACTTCCCAGTTGTAGATAATGAAGTATTTGATCAATCCAACAACCAAATTGTATACATATATATATATATATATATACACTGTATTTGTATATCTTGGGGATAGTTTTAAGTTAAAACTTGATACAAATATATTGTTTGCATTGAACTTATAATTGCTCTGCATTCATATGTAATGTGACGATGATTTGTTTATGAACTCAATATTAGAGACTGGATTTGTTGAGTGTAGAGTTAAGTGTTGTTAACATCTTGGTGATAATACAAGAACAAGAAAATACTGACATGTTAACAAAATTTTGAAAATTTAATTCAAACTATTACTTTTCTCTCTGATAATGTGTATAATTGACAAGGGTGCTGTGTTTTACTTTTTTACAAAATATTTTACATTTACCTCCTTTGGTTTTTAATTACATTGTATTAATTGAAATACATGTCTCCTTTGATCATCATTCAAAAGTAAAAGATTTTTTTCATTGTATTTTCAGTATCCAGTAACTTTTTAGATGTTTTTAGATCAATTGATGAACATTAAATTCCCCTTGATATCTTTCTAGATAGGAAGTACTACAGCTCTTTCATGAAAGATGAGAACCTGGAGTTGTAGGCTAGAACCCAAACTATACAAGTACAAGCTCTGGGACAAATCCATTCATTCATCTATTTCTAAAATATTTTCTCTAGACTATAATGCTTTTTTGATGTGTCATTTCAGAGCGGTTTGACCACCACTGCCCTTGGGTAGGAAACTGTGTGGGCAAAAGGAATTATCGCTACTTTTACCTGTTTATACTGTCACTTTCCATTCTGTGTATCTACATATTTGCCTGTGTGCTAACACATTTAATTTTACGTAAGTATGACTTTACCAACATGTATATTTATCACCTTTAACCTTGGTGTAATCATATTGACAGTGTTTAATATCATAAAATTAGGAAAACTATACTTTTAATTAGATCACATTTTGGCAAGCTTCTACCTGAGAATAACACACTACAATTTCCGTTATGAATCATGAAGAAGTTTTATTATTAATTTCTAGTTTATGCTTTGTTAAGTGAAAAGAGATAAACATTGTGTTTTGATGTCTTATTGATAGAAGAATTGGAGACATTAACTATATTTTACTTAGGAAAGAAAGGTGAAAAAAACCAGCCATGTTAAACATTTTTCAAAAATATACTATATGAAAAAGAGAAAATATTTTCAGTAATTAATTTTTCAATTGAAATAACAAGATTTCTTTTGGGAGTTAAAATTGTATCAATTCAAATTGTTATTCCAAATAAACGCCAGTGGAGGATATAACAGAAACATTGTTGTATCATATACCAGTATCAAATATAATTTGTTCCTCATATCGTTTACTTTGATCACCATTTAAACATGTACACTTGTATTAAAATCATTGATAGACTTGCATAACATACACATGACAAAAAAACAAAAGTTTGGGTCATATATATAGCCTGATATAAAACAGCGTCATCTTCATGGCCAGAATTGCAATATGATGAAGGCTTTAGCAATCCAAGTTCACCATCAAGATTATGTATTGATTGTTTTGTGTCTGTTATGCAAGGCCTGGTTATCCAAAACCGTTGGCAGCCATTAAATGCTTGTTTTGAAATTAGAATTTTTAGGTCATCTGACCTGAAGGGTCAAGATAACCTATAGCCAATTCGCTTTGTCCATCGTTGTTTCATGCATAAACTTTTTCTTTTAAAACCTCACTCCTCTTTCATACTGTGGTGAATTTCAACTAAATTTGGTCTGATGTATCATTAGGTAAAGGTTATCATTTTTTCTTTTTTTATTTGATCCATAAGGGTCGAGGGACGTTTTTTTTTTTTTTTTTTGACCCCTAAGGGTCGAGGGACAGGGGGGCCCAAAAGGAGGAGGTGCTGAAATTAGCTTTAAAACTCTACTCCTTCTTTCTGCCTGAGTGGATTTCATCATTTAGGATAGGCAATTACTTCTTGTAATCAGAAATTTGGGGATGAGGCCCGGAAAGGGAAAGGTAGTCTATCTCTTTAACTTCAGAAAGATGATTTGACCCCTAGGAACCTACTAAAATCATTAAACGAGTTCTTCTCGATAACCAAAAAGCCAACTTTCAAGTTTGCAGAAAATGCCTAGATGAACCAACAATGTCGTCTATGAAATCTGTCAAGTGGTTGATCAATTTATTTTCGGCATATTTTGCCTCTTTCATATGTACGTCTTTACAGTCAGATGACAGTTTAGGCCCATGGGCCTCTTGTTGTAAGAATATTTTCACCATTCTGTTAATCTTAACTCAAAACAATCAATCGATCAAAAAGAATTTTAATAACCTAAATGGACAATAATCATTGAGCAGTAAATCATGTTGTCTTTGATCAGTGCAGTCGTTCTGAGAAATTTTAAGTGGAAAAAATTGTTGCTACCACAAGTGATTGGTGGAAACAAAAAATTTATAATATAATATATACTAATAAAGAGGGAGGATGAAGCATGGTGACAAGATGGCAAATTTACAGAATGGGTATACAATATCAACGTTTTAAAAATGGTCACCTGTATGTTTCATATATAGGTATAGAAAGTTGACAAAAATAATTGGCACTCTCTCTTTGTTACTTTAAAAACGATGGCACTTTATCTTTGTTAATTTCAAAATGATAGTATTAAAAAATTGAAGTTGGAGATCAGTCGGACTGAGTATGAGCTAAGAGTGCCAGACTTACCATCTATGAGCAATGATTGTTGTTAGTATCATATTTTCTGGTTGCCTATCGAAACTGGTCCCAGGAGATCAGTTCTGATAGTATCGCTTATTGTACATTTCACTGCCTGAGAGTGCACAAATAACGGAGAACATCAAATTAAACACACAGATCTAACAGAACAGCAGTTTGTAAATAGTGGACATTTTGTATCAAGCAAGCAACAGACTATTGATTGTTTAAAACATGGGTGGTCAGTGTTAGTAATATATAGGTCAGACTACTTTATCACCTCAGTATCCAGTAGTGTAACCCAGATTAGTGAAAGAGTAGATTAGTGAGAGAAATCACAGTAAAAGCCTGCTGAAAACCAGGACCAACATTTCACTTCTTCAGATTACATAGTTTATAGTTAGTAGTATGTACTTTATGCAGTAGGGAAGATATAGTATTTAAGGTTTGCTTTTTCATATAGTGGTCAAACCCACATGGAGAATATGTCATTGAAACAGATTATTGGATCAATAAAAACAAATTTTTCATGTGATATTTGTAAAACGTATGTGTATGAGAGCTTTGTTGTCCTGGCAACGCATGCTACTATCATAAAGATATGGCTATGACAAGGCATAGCTGCTGATTTTATATTTTACAGCTTAAATATGAATGTTAATTTAATGCTGAATATTACAACCTCAAAATCTAGGCTCTTGTTTAACTGAAGGTCTTTGTTGCATTTTATATTTTAGTGTGATCATAGTCATTCTTTCTTCTCATGTCCAGAATCTTTTTGCTTGAATTAAAAAATACTGTTTCTTTTCTTTCAGGTTCACAAAAAGATAATTTCCTCCATGCAATGAGGGATTCTCCAGCTAGATATCCTTTTTTAATTAAATGCAGTATTGAAAATTTACCTGTAAAATGTTTTGTTGATTGGTCTGTCTTGGCCGATGTCAATACAAGTTCTGTATATGTATGAAATTATTTTGGTTTATTGTTACCAGTAGACATTTATTACAAAACTTGCCTGTTGTGCCACCCTGTCATACAGTCATGTTATAGATACAGTAAGACATGTATAATAACACTAACGTGAAGGCATAACGAAGTCATCTGTTGATGACATAACATGATTGTCTCTGTAGTGAATAGTGTAGTGTAATGAAAATGTTGGGGAATTAATTTAAGGGTTTTCACCTATTTTTCAGAGATATGAGTTATATGATGAATAGAATATTACACTTGTGTCAATGTTATATTTAATGTTTTATTTTAAAAATTTGATAAATTCCATATGACATTAACATTCAGGTAAGATCCTGTTTTTACTGCTCTACTGTTTGCATTTTGATCAGATAGGTATGACAGATCTCAGATATATCATGTGTTTCAACACTGCTGAGTACCTTCAAATTTAAGATCATGTGAAGGAAAATTAAAGTTACCATACATAACCAGTATATTTCAGGTACAGAATGGTATCTGTAGATATATACACTGTACATCTATATGATATGATAAAGAAAATTGATTTTATGAACTTTGAAGACTAGAGCTTCAGAAGAGAAGCTAGTTGGTTGTATGGGGTTGTATATGGACCATTCCATCAGCTGGAAAAGGATATTGATTATTGAACTTTAATAGAACACAAAGTCTTGGACATGGGTGGTAAATATGAACTAAAAATAGATCCTGTTTTGTGCTGTTTTCTTGGAAATGTCTCTCAAGACTGTCAGTTAGAAAAAAAGACATGGCAGTTTCTGATCCGATTAGGCACTTTATCCTCTATAGTGCGTCGGTCAGTAAACTGGATTTGCCTTTTCATTTATAGATAAAATCTTGTTCAGACATTGATCAATTTCCTTGTTTTTCTCTTGAAGTTCATTTGAATGTTGATTTTAGTAATTTGGGATCAATTCCTCTTATTTGGTTTATGTTATTACATTGAAATATTCTCTGGTACTTGCCCATTTTAAGTCCAACAACACTAGGCTTATATTTACCAGGTACCCTTTTTGTGCTTCCTGTTGTTTCTGATATTTGTTCTCTTGAAATGTATTGAAAGCAAATTTTGCAATTCATGTGTAATGTTATTCAGAAAATTATCTCAGTGTGCTTTTTACAGGGTATTATTTTGTAATGATTAAGGAGTAATGGGATCAGTTCACATATTCTCAGTCTTATATGTCAGGATCAATAATATTGTTTTGCCTGACAGTTAACAATGAAACAGTTTGAAGGAAATGGCCTGTTTCTTATAGTCTGTTCCATTACCGATCATTACCATGACAACATGTACAGTTCCTAAAATATTGTAGAAATAATTCCTCTTGTGGATTTCCATACCATTTGACTCCTTCCTTCATTAAATTCACTTTTGTAAGATGTTACACACAGCAGTTTGACATTCAAGTGCTCTTTGTATTGATTTGTCTGATGTCTGACTACTTATGTCCACATAGATCATATTTAACAATCTGTTTGCCCAAACACTGGCTCTGAATCCCAAAACCACAAGTTTAATTCCTAATAAATGAAAATTTTCATCAAAACAAATTTTCAAGGCATAAAAATATTATGCATATATGCATATGATTACACCTTGAAAACAGATATTTTGCATAAATAGTAGAAAAAAATAATCAAGCATTTTCATGTTTTCTTTGACAGTGTTGAACTAAAAATAATGGAAAATGTATCTTTTTCTTTTGGAACATGCTTAGATCAACTCCAATGAAAACCTGTCCACACAGAATCCCCTGCTGTAGGCCTATACATCTTTGTAGAATGAGGCTTTTTATAAGCACAATACACATAATATTTTCCTTGGCTATGTACATACAGGCTTTGTTTCTGGCAAAGGTTTTTATAAGATCACTGTAACTCAGCATCCCATTTCCTAACATAGTCGGTATCCATATTGATTTAGAGTTAATGATACAAAACCATAAAGCTTTTTGCCAACTATGTAACACAGATGACGTTTAGACAGGAAATATATATGGAAGCTGGAGGATCATTGTAAGGCAAGCGTTATTGACATAACTTTTCCTGATCAGCTCTCTAATGGTTGACAACATCCAACCCTCTTGTGATGTTACGGCCTATCACACTCCACAAAATACTATACACATACATAACCAAAATTAAACCTACCACTATGATCACCTCATAATGTTACTACATGTAATGTCTAGTAGTAATACTGTCCTATCGTCTGTCTAGTTATCCTAGTGTTCATTTGTCCAAATATCTTGTTTAGTTGTCTCATAAAGTTGCACTGCTAATGATACTACCTTATATTGGTTTGTCTTTATTAGGACGTCTTTACAATCCTATCCAGTTATCATGGTTTAATATTTTTCCATCCAATCATCCCAGTATCCTTTGTTATAACATTGACCCACACTTTGCTTTCATCAAATTGTTCTATTATAAGAATACATTCTTTTAAAAAAACATTGGCTAGAGTATCATGACATGTTTTATAATTATACATCAGGGAAGTAACTTCAATATGGGTAATAGAGATTGGTTTAGAGGCACTACCGTACCTCCTGTACCAGAAAACTGCTATACCGGTGTAATTATCTCATCCAATTTTCACATGATTATCTTAGCCAGTATTTTGAAAAACATTCAAATTTGCTTCCAATCCTTAATTATCTCATAACATATTACCAAAAAACACTAAGTAGGCTGTTTGTTTGATCTGATTTTTTTTTATGAAATCCTGTAACAGAATTATGGGGAATATTCTCAGAGATATTATCCTTTTTTCAGAAATAGAACTGAATTCCCCACCATTACTATGACATTGATGTGATTGGACTTGTTTTAATTCTTGGCTTTATATATGTAGGAAACAACACAAAGTATTGACTATTTGTATACGTGGCCTTGGTTTTTAATGCAAGACTCTATGTAACTCCTGTTATTTGTCATTTACAAAGTAAGATGGGATACTTTTCATTTTCCCCTATTTCAACATTTCAATCCACTTTCTTTTCACAGTCACTTTTCTGACATCAGCACAGTATTACTTAAATCCTTTCATTATAGTTTTGTAGCTGTAATTGAAGATTCAGAATGAAAATGTTTAAGGATGTAAAACATTATATTCTAACAATTTCTTTTGTCCATAGACCACAAAAAAAAAAAAAACAAACAAACAAAAATAGTGACTTGTATGAACAGTATTCGTTAGCTTTGGCCTGAGCGGTGGTTTCAGATTGGCAAAAAGTTAGCTTTGGCCTGAGTGGTGGTTTCAGATTGGCAAAAAGTTAGACACTGACCTCGACACACATGAAAATCCTAGAACTAGATGATCTAGGAAGGGTCCTGAGTGGCTTCATCAAAACAGTGAGTAAATATCCCCAGGTTTGCTCATTCCCTTTTTTGAGCAAAGGAAGTTCAATAAAAAAATATATTGAACTTGTAAGATAGCTCTTTGAGAGAATTGGTACATGTATAAAGATTAAGACTCCACAGAGCCTGGACCTCAGAGCTAAACTGACCATTTCTTAATAGTCCTATTGTGCTTTATCTTGTGTCCTTCATTCACTCTGGAGATTAAAAAAAATTTTCTCGCAGATCAGTTAGACAAGTAAACTAGTGAACTAGTGAAGGATATGGCAATTACCGTGCAGTTTCCAGCTATAAATTATTGATAATGAATAGTACTTCTGTTGGTCACATGTATGTTCTGACATTATTTTGCTAAATTGAATGTCATGGGCCTGTGTGTTTAACTGAATGTAATGATGCCTGTATATTTTTAAAGTTTTCTTGAGTAAGTTTTGTCAAAAAATGTTTAAGATTATTCTTCAAAAGATGAAGTGTAAAGTCCAAAGCTGTGAAGATGTTTGACTATACACATAATATTTGAACTGATGATCAGAAGAGAACTTGCAAACAGAAGACACCTGCTTTAAGAAATAGATAACACAACCTGGATTACCGAATACTATTTATGGCTGCACCAATAATGGTATAAAATGCCAGCTGGTAATTTATCATTTGTAAGCTCTCAAGGGTAAAACTCTGGGAAATCATATGCTGAGAACACTTGCTAATTAGTGAATTCCACAATGTCTAGGGTGCTGTGTAAACAGTTTTCAGTGTTCAATTAGTGGTCCTAAGCTATTATTGATTTTGTCCAAGAGAATCACAAAATATAATGAAAAATGACAGTTTTACCAAAACAAACTTATGTATCTTTTTATAATGCCTGAAAAAGCATTTTAAAAAATTAATACATCACTATAGGTGTTTATTTGTGTAGCACAAAAACCATGCTGAAGAAATACAAATTCCATATTAATCCATCTCAAACAAATCCTTTGTGATTTTCTTCACAGCGTGTAGTACATATCTAATAGCATCTGTGTTATGGACATCTTTATGTTTTTCTAATCATTGCAGCTCCTAGTATGAGAAAGGAAATGGCTTCCTTCTCAACATCTAGGTATTAATTCATTGTGATTTAGAAAAACGAAGTATTTCAATTACTGTATAATACAAAATTTCTCTCCGCTTGTATTTGATATTTCATGATGATTGTAGATTGATGAAGATGTCCATATGGTTAACAGATATATAACTGAAACTGTTTGTTCCTTAACTGTGTCACTATCGTAGAGGCCATTATATGTTTCTTCTCCATCTGGTCTGTGATTGGCCTCGCAGGCTTCCATTCTTACTTAGTGTCATCAGAGCAGACAACCAATGAAGATGTGAGTAATTTACTTATTTGCATACAACTTGCATATACAATTAACAATGCATTCACGAAATATCCCAGCTGAAGTTACTGCATAGATATATTGCAGGTAACTGCAGCTTGGTGATTCTGTTCTAAAGTACAGAAAATATCCCTAATATTTGATGGACCAAATGATTTCATTTTAAAAATTTGGATTTGAAATGAAGTATTTACTGTAATCTTAGTTCGTCTTCATTTATTTAATTCTATTATTTCAAAACTTCCAAGATTTTTTTTTTTTTTTTTTTTTTTTTTTATAATTATTTGTTTCCGTCAACTGAGAGGATATTTACTGTTCTTAAACTACTACCACAACCTTATATGAACCTTAACCAACTGCACTATTGTGGAAGCCATTATCTGCTTCTTCTCAGTATGGTCAATCATAGGCCTTGCAGGTTTCCATACCTACCTTGCCTCCTCAGAACAGACTACCAATGAGGATGTAAGTAGAAGATCATGTGACTTCTGCTTTTAGTTTTTTTTAATTGACAATTTGTTTTGCATGTTTAATCTTCCAGTTGTTCTAAAAAACTTTTGGTTTTTTTTGGTTTTTTTTTCTAATCAATCTGCAAAAGTTTGTTGTATATTGTTGTGATGGTTCTTCTCAAAAAGGTGAAAGGTGCTGTATTTCCTGCATGATTTTGTTTGCATGCCTTTTTATGTCTTTGAATTCATGATTAAGTTTACATTAAAGCAGTATTACAACAGAGATCAGTAATGCTGTAACGAATTGTCTCACCATGATAAAAGTGAAACCAAGGTGTTCCTTGTCTGCTGTATTGACTTTAACATTGAGAAACGAAGCTCAGTCTATCAGAAGAAACATGCACTAGGTCTCCAAATTTAAAACAGGGTATCTACTTCAATAATCAGATTTATATAGAAAACAATTTTTTACTATTGAATCAGAATTTTTTTCCATGTTTCTTGTTTTAAGATTTAATTCGGAGAGTTAAAATGGGGAGGACTGGACAAATATTTCAGCAGAACTATGACTTATTATTGATTATAGGATATACAAACAATTGGTTACTGGAAATACAAGGGAACACTGTCAAGAACAATTTTATCTCAATTATTTCTTGATCCAATCAACAATGACTGAAGCTTGCAATAGCCCTGTTTTTAACTCAGTCTGTGATCTGACAGGTCTGGATTGGTTCAAATGTCCATGTTCTCAGTGATATTGTGTTGTCTCATAGCATTAAAATCAAGGATATCATTTCCTGGTACCAAAGGGAATAGAAAATTGCTGAAATTGAATAGTACTAGACAAACAGGACAAAAATGTGCTCCTTTATTGGTCTAGAGATTCAAGAAATAGGGGAAGCTTGATACCGTGGTTACAGGAAGATCATTGTTAAAGATTACACTCAGACCAGCGTACCAGGATTGTCTGATAGTTTTACTTGATACCAATATTAATCATCATTATAATTCTGCTCTGTTGAGTAATGCTGGAGACTGTTATCTAACAGAATAAATTGATTGCAATAATTTAACTTTGTTTTAAAGAAGTCTCAGTTGAATAAAAAAAAATGCATTACAACTATTTGTCTCAACTCTACCAAAGTTAGGACAGATGAAATTCCTTACTGTTCAAGATATTTTACGTTAAGTATAGAATGGTTGAGATCAGACCATTACTGAAAAGAAAAGATAACATCAATCATTAATATCAAGCTGACAAGGTTTGAGATGGTGATTAAAGCTTAACATTTATGGATTACCTATCTTTACACATGTATTTTTGCTTTTTAAAGATTGCATCTGCTCAAGTTTCCTGTTTGTGTCCTTTCTATTGGTTTGGATAGTAGTTATGTGAACTGAACTATAAGCATTAATAAGAGATCCTGTGTAGCATTAAATGTCAGTTTCCATCTCTCATATTGGTTGAGATTAATTAGAAAGCTGTAGTTCAGGAACAATTTAATTGGCATGTGTAACTTTATATACTACACGTACTTTGCTTTTAAGGAGGTCTAATAGCAAAGCCATGAGAACAATCTCATTACTGGAAAACTTCTTTACTTCACCAGTAGGGGATCAAAACATCAAAAAGAAACAGAAAACTTCAAAACATTCCAAAAAAAAAGGCAGAAGATTTTTTACAAATATAAATAAACACAATGTTTTGCATAAAATATGCATTATGATATGAGATTAACATTACATCACTAGTTGTAAACATGTACTAAAACTACTAAGTAATTAACATGTTATCCATTTGTCAGAAGTGCTGTATGTTTATCTTTGTTATATAGATAATGACACAAGTAAAGTTTATAATAAAATGTTTTTAACCAGCTTGAGAAAAAAAAAAATATAGGATAAGAGAAATAGAATAACAAACCTCTGAAGGAATCCCCTTTTTGTTTTGTACTAGTTGCTTGTTTCCTGTAAGAATTGCTTGGCATGCTTTTTCTGCGATACTTATTTGATAGAGTTTAGTTCTTTGTATTTTTTAAAAATTAATTTTGTTAATTTCCTTAACCTCAGTACTGTTATTGAGTTGTTAATGTGTTTCTTAAGTGTGTGGACAATAGTAGCTCTTGCAGGCTTCCATACCTTTTTAACAGCAACAGAGCAAACAACCAATGAGGATGTAAGTACCAGGTTAGCTATATCCTTTCCATGGAGAATATGATCATACTGAACAATTTATACAGAACAGTTAACAGATAGGAGTAATGAAGAAAGTATGTCAAGAACATTCAGTTGTCAACCTGCTTTGGTAAATCTGATTTTCTGTCAAAAGGACTTTTTATGCAGTCATTTTGACATGATTAAAATCTCCATCCTCGCTAGAAATGATCAATTATCCTCACTCAGTTCTTTAAAAGGATTCACACTGTATTCTGGAAATTTGCTTTCCAACTTGTAAATTTTTTGTCCCAAATAAGACAAAATAGCCACATCCTAATTGATTAAAAGATAGAAGAGCAGCTCATTGTCAATTAAAAATATTTTTCTCTCTCAAATAAATTAAATTTCTTGATTTGTGGTGAAAGCATTTTTAATGGAACACTAGAAACTTGGACTATGATGGAACTGTAAAAGGAAAAGTCATACATTGAAATGATTTTCTTTCATGTGCTTTTATCAAGTGTAGTCATCTCAAAGTGTACAAAAGCATGCCCTGTTTAAACAACTGTTATGCATGTGTTTACCATCAATGTCAAAATGCATGTTTACCAGTGATATATACAGCTTCATGGTGCAGCCAAACTGAGATATATTGCTTTTCCTGAAAAGGAAAACAAAGAAAACAAGATCATAACAAATTATTCTGTCGCCAGAATGGAATTCACATGCATTCAAATCATGAAAATCTGGAATGCAGATCAAATTAAAAGAATACTCGGAGGACACTGTGACGTCGTAACAGCATTCTGTACTCAATATAAGTTCATTTAAATTTACAACAATTATGATTGATAACACTATTTGTTTTCATCTTACAGATCAAAGGATCCTTCTCTGCTAAAAGGGGCCAAGAAAATTTCAATCCTTACAGTCAGGGATCGATATTGAAAAACTGTTTGGTAGTGCTGTGTGGTCCAACACCTCCAAGGTAATGCAATCATTACAGGTTTTCATGTTGAGGCACTTTTGATAAATCAGCTGACCCGAGGATTCCTGAATTAGATTTTCAAGACTTGTTTGTCAGTAGAATACATATTTTCCATAACGGATGTACATTACTGTACATCATACAGATATATTTAACATTATTACTTCCGTGTTTGTTCATTCTCTCAAACTCTATAGAAAGAATTCAGAATTCAACTCTGTGGAGTTTACTTTCACAAGGTCACACTTTATAAAGTGTTTCTTCCATTGTAATTTTTTAAAACTTTACTTCTACATATGCAAAGTCTCTTATCAGGTCCTGATTGTTATGAATGTCCCATCATGTTGTAAGTATTCTAACCAGCATTCATCAATAATCATATATTTTTTGTTTCGCTGCAGTCGTGAATTAAATTAGATCTTTGTGTAGGATTAGAATGCTTATCACTTGTAAAACAAAAGTTTATTGGAAAGTGCACAATGTATGAGGAGATATTCACTTAACAATTACATCAATGGATATTAGATACGTATTTACTTCCTGAAAAAAAACTAACTTCTCTAAACATTGAATAATACTCGAGATCTAGATTTAATATTGCAGATTGAATATGTTGCCACTTGTGTTCCACAGTTTGCTGGACAGACGAGGCTTTGTGGTGCCAGAAACCACAGAGATCCACAGTGGACTGAATGCATCCACAGGCAAGGAAAGTAATGCTGTCAATGTAAAGCATGAGTATTATGGATCAACTAATGAAACAAAGGTGTGTAGTTCTTACTGAACATCTCATACAAATATCCAGCGAGAATTACCAACTTATGACATACTATATTTTTAAGGCTCTAAGCTGCACCGGTATATAAGCCACGGAGCCGATTTTAACTAAATTTTTTCAATTTGATCCACATATAAGACTCACTCTTTCTTACAAAGTGGTAAGCGTTACGTTAACCATAGTTCATTGATACAACAGACAATGGGAAGTAGTTGATCAAGATCATCGGTAAAATATTTAATAAAAGTTTGCAAATGAATTATTCACAAATAATCCTTTATTTTATTGATGTAATTCAAATAACATAAATAGCAAATATCAAACTCATTTGGCTTGGGTGCCTATTCAGATTGACTAAACACAGATATAGGGCCAGGTCTTAAGTATGGTTTACTAAACAATCTCTCCATCATTGTCATACTGTAAAATATCAAAAAAGACCCTTGCATGCTGATCAAAGTCCTATGTTATTTCTTCTTGTAACTTACACAATGCCATTCATAGGGTCAGAGGTCACATTTGACAACTTCTTTAAATTTATCAAACAATGATACTGGTATATGCATGGTAGTGAAGGCAGCATATCTTACAGACATTCTAGTTTTCATCAGAGACAATTTCAAGAAAAATGATTGCTCAATTAAACAATTCAGCACAGGTGTCCTAAAAAAAAGAATTGGTTGTTTACTGTTTCACAGACCAGCAATGTGGGAACAAATACCAACAGTGTGGGACCAGAACAGGTGTTCCACGGGAGCAGTAACGGAGTGGGTCCTGTCACCAAACATAGCATGATCAGCTACCAAGGACCAGACGGTTCCATCAACAACAAACTGCCCCCTATCAATGGTAGGTTGGCAATCCCTAACATGGTCAAATTACATGATTTGTACCGTCACAGACAGGTTAGAGTGTTGGGCATTCTTTAGGCTCTTATACAGTGAAATGTTTCCTTCCCTGTCTCATTTGTTGTCTTTCTTCTCCTGTTACATCTCTATCAGGGTTGGTGTGAAGTTTTCCTTATTAGTGGCTATTCATTGGTTTTAGATTTATTTCATATTGAAATACTTTTATACCAACAAAAATAATTCCACTGAATTCATTTATATGATGACTGAGTCATTATGTCTTTTTTTCATATTTTAATTGCATTCATAACTACTTTGGTATTAGTAGTTTGAAAATAAAAAGAATCAAGTGGTCTTTGACAGTTGTTCAGAGAAAAAAAATCAAAAACTATTTTCTGGATTTGAACCTGACAGGTGGAAAGAATCCCCTTTGGAATATGACTTTGACCCAACTCAATTACCATGGTAAGTGTGTGCACTCAGTGCATGTTAGCAATGCATGTGGTGCCATTTCATTGGTTCAGTACAAGACATTTGGTTTCTCTTCAATGTACATAATTTATTTTGATTTTCAAATAACAATAATTTTTGTTTTGTTAATAAATTGAACTGATATTCTTTTTGTCTTTGGTTGCAGGGTCTTTAACTGCTTTCCTGTTTAATTTGTAATAGTGGAAATTTAATTGTTGTATAGTAGTGGATTAGTTCTTAATATCGTGATGTCTATATCTCTAAAATTTTTACCAACTCTTCTGGTAATAAGGTTACCTTGTAAACATAAAGTCGTGAAGTTTTTCAGTAGAAAACTTAAGGGCTTTTGTTTGCACAAAAATTTTAATTGTTTTTTTTTGATTGAAATGTGAATGAAAAGTTGGTTTCATTAAGTTTATTTTTGGGCCACCGGACTCTCTATGTCTCTTATTCAAATGGTGCATCAACTTGGTCAACTTGGCCTAATTGTTGCTCTTACATATCTCCTCATAAATGATATTGGTTCAAAATTGAAATACTGACAACATCTTTCCACATCATTTGAACAGGAGATCAAACATGATCCTTGAGCCCAAAAATAGCTTGGTCGCCTATCCTTGGTATTGTTCTTTATAATATCAGTCAAAAGTGTTAACAAGCAACAGTCATCAAACTACATGTAAATGGATAACAGAATTTTTTTGATGTTGTATATATAGGTTATCCTTGTATTTTTTTCAACTGAGTATATGAAAAGAATTGTGTTTATTTTGAAACATTTTTCTTTTGTATACAAGTTTTTTTTTCCAAGGTTATTATCAGTTACAAGCATATTTATGATAGAAAAACACAGAAGTAATTTGTTAATAACTAAATTCAGTGTTATTGATTCAGTGTTTATACCTGTAATTTACACCTTACCCTTTGTATGATTCTTTAATATCTGTACTAACTCAACATAAATCTGTGATATAAAAACCTAAATAACAGTTCAAACTTTATATGATAGATAGGTAGTAGAAGCAAATGTTATCTTTCTGAAAAGTTATTTTTTTCTGGGTTTATGAACATGAACAGACATTGTCATTTGAAGCAGGGCCTCTTTGCACTAGCTGGTGGTTACCTCACTGAATAACATACAGGAGGCCCACCACAAGCCATCCAGAACAATTAGGGTAAAGTGTCTTGCCCATGGACACAGTCAAAAACCAAGGCTGGTCTGTTTCTCAGCTAGCTGTGAAACACAAACCACCTTGGGTAAAATTCCAAAAAGAAGCCTGTGGAGTTAAATTTGACTTGCAATATGACACGGTTTTTTTCATAAATAAAATCAAATAGAAATCTCAGTTACCCCACTTTGAATAATATTAATCTCCAATCCAAATAGTGCAATTAATACCTCACCTAGATTTAACAGTCATTGGGCTGTTTGTTGGCCTAAGCCCTTTTTTCTAGTTAATTATGAACATTTTTGGTTGTGATATTTGTAGGAAGTTGCTTTTTCCAAAGACACGCACATAGGTAAAGGTATTCTGGAGTATAAAAAAAGAATTAAAACATTTAAGGTCACAGTGGTTTATCAAATATTCTTAAAGTACCTAACTTAGCAAAACAATTTTTCACGCTTTTTTTTTTAATAAACTACAGTTTTTCTCTATAAGCAAATGTAATGCTCTAAATAATAGAAAAGAAAGCTAATACCAATAATACGAAAGGTTTATGTTAAAGATTAAACACATTGTTGTATGTGATGTATGTTTAAAATGCATGTCAATATTGTAGGGTCATGGTTTTATTCATAGCAACTTCTTTCTATATCATTTTAAGGAGCTCACACCATGTGAATGTTTGATACAGATGTGTGTTTAGTCTCTAGAAGGCTTACAGCACAGGAATCCATTGGTACATAAGATTATCTGTTGGTTTGCAAAGAACATTCCTCATCAAAAAAGAAATAAAATAAAACTGGAAACATGGAGATTCTCTTCTTGTTGGTCAGTTACAGATTTCTGCTGTTAGTAGCATAGTCATCACATAATAGGGTGCTGTTTCCTTTTTAATGGAGATCATTCATAAAAAATGAAAATAAGACTTTGGTAAAATGTCATTGACAGACTAAGTTTTGTGTTCTAGAAATATTGAAATTCATAACACAGATTTAGTGCAACATTCAAATATTTATTCATATTTCTAGTTTCGTCAAAAACATAGTCTGTACTGTTGTGGTGGTGCGTGTTGTATTACATGATAATGTCTTTTTTTTAACATTTTTTGTATAATATCTTAAACTTGAAAAAAATGTCTTGCCTGACAAGTGTAATATCTTGTTTGAATACTCTTCCAGTTGACGGAAACCTTCCTCCTTTATATGGCAAATAGCTGGTATTGGGTATGTCTTCTGTATAATGTTCTCACTGCAAATCACTTATATTTTGCAAGTACACAATTCAGTGCTAGGGCAAAATGAGAATTTAGTTTTTGACCTCTTTATTATGATATGTAACTTTAAACTTTTGTTATGTTTCGTCATCATTTCTCAGGATTATTTCAATCTTAAAGCAAAATTTTGTCACTTCAATTATTGTTTTATTTGTCTTTGCCTTGGCAAAAAGCCATGATAACAATTTGGCTAAAGAAAAACCCAAAAAATTACTGGTGAAATGCAAGTGATTTTCAGTTGTGTTGACAGTGAATGCACCCAGCAATCCCGTCCTAGATTGGTGACATCACACTATATTTTTGCTTCCAGTATTGTTTATTTCAGATTCCAGTTGCTCATTGATTTTGACTTTTGAGTTTTAAAAGTTTCAAGCTTAATGCTGTCTTGATTTAAATCACAGACACTTGTCATAATCAAAGTGGCTCAAATTATGAAACCAACACCATACAAATGTTCTGTGAAGTAATGTGTAAAGCTTCAGTTTTTCATTTTTTTCCAGCCATCAATAAAATGCCAAGTGCCTGTGGTTCACTTCTGTTTGTTCCCAATTTTTTTAGCTTTTATTTAGCAGTTGTGATTTGATTGTTACATTAGTGCATTTTGATTTCATTTCATTCATATTTTCTCCCATACAGTTATAATATTAAGTCAAATAATAATTATATTATTTGTGTTCTGCTTTTTTGAAGCACCTTTTTAAAAGTCAGAACATTAGCACCTAGTTAGTTTAAATTTGATGGACAATTACTGGAAATACATTGATTTTGGATATTTTCCAGGAAAGTAAAACGTTCACCTGATTTGGGCCTATTGTGCATAGATGTAGTAATACACAAAATTACTGTCTTGTTCTCATGTTAATAATGTTTTTGTACAATGATTTGGTCAGTTGAACAACAAACAACTTAATTGAAATAGACTTGTCAATAATACCTACAAGTTTTCCTTTATCTGAATGTGATGGTATAAGGTCAGCTAGGATGAGCAACATAACAGAGTGATACACATAAATATATATGTTTATATATTTACATATATGTTTAAGAAAATTCAAATATTGTTGACATACACGCTATTTTTTGTTTGCCAAGTTTCTGTCCTTTGTTTATTTGCATAATTTTAATGAAAGAAATTTAACATTAAGTCAGGATAAATGGAGACAAATACGAAACATTCAGGTGCATTCCTTTATAATTTAAAAGATACTTTTCACAGAACTCCAACGTACTACCCAGATCATTTTCTGTTTGTTAGTTATGTTTTTTTTCTCAAATGACAAAATTAACATAATATATTGCAATTTTTTTTACCATAGACATATGCTCATTTTATTTTTCATTTGTTAAAAGTATTAGTGTGAAGATAATGTGAATTTGTGTGTTCATTATGAGAATCTTTTCCAGTTCAGCTTCTTTGAGTAATCTCTTATATTGAAATTATGAATAAAAAAAATGGGAAAAGTTCATTGCTAAGACAATCATAATTTAACATAATTGAAATTATTTGCAGTGTTATAATTATGTTAAATTGGTATAAGATAACCAGTATTTGTTTGCATTTCATTTTTTAATTATCCTTGCTTTTAAAATTTCACTTCAGGATACAGGTGTCATTACTAGGGCTGTCAATGATAAAAGAGAATATAACAATACATATTTTCTGCATACAGTGAATAATTTCCAAGAGACAGACTACCTGTTGAAGGATATCAATATCAGTGTTATAATGGACATTCTTAGCTGTAGCTAACTGTTATCCTGATATGCATTTTAGGTTAAATTATGCACTGGGTGCAATCGAAAAATTGAAAGTAAGAAAAACAAAACAAATACATTGGTTTTTTTTGTGTTAACAGACCATAATGAATGTCAGAGTTACTTTCTATGGTGTATTTTGTTTTTGTTTCTATTACCAGTCATCATTTGGAATAACATATATCAATAACACTTCAAGGTCTTGTCAGGAAATAATTTTAATATTGTTTGTAGTAACCCTTGATTTTTAATTTTTTTGCTAAATCTCGGTACAGTCCAGCAGTTAATATATTAACAGTTGTTCAGCACTTTTATCTTTTTGCTTGCTAGACCATAGTGATCTGCAATTGTTATTGTTGAAATATAACCATAAAACTAGGTTTCTGTAATTACATGCTATGAACTAAATATAGACAAAACTGCAAATGTGTGACCTCATGAATAGAGTACTGTTAACCTCTCCTTAAAGACTAAAAGAAACAAAAGTTTCTGTGAAAGTTAAATAAAGTAAGCTTGTTCATTTTTCAGGACTATGTTAGAAATTTCCTCTGTCTTCATACCCTGTAATACATATATGGAAAAAGATATTTATGCTTTATGTGGCAGTATAGTTCTAGAGAAAGATATGGTTATTAGAGACGATTATGCACACGGTGGATGATAATGTATTTATGTTTCTCATGTGTTTGATGTCTTTGCAGTGGAGTCCACCCCAGTCACACGACTGGAGCCTGAACAAGGTCAGCCAGAGTGTACCCAAGAAATTGACAGTGTACAAACTGTTGTATACACCTACCCTCAACAGACTGGCTTGAACAGCCAGTGGGACAGCAACAGTAGTGAACAGCATCTCTTCCACAGCACTAGTATCAACCAGCCTTCAATGTAACTCCACCCCATGTTAGAATTCCACACCTCTATCCAGACGTTTACTGGAGTATACACTGTACTTACTGAAGTCAGCCAGCATCTGTCTGACCTTCAATTTATAACTACTTAACACATTATTTGTTAATGTTTCGGAGAGTGGTAGCCTTGTTAGAAATATTTATCAAAATCATGTTCAGAATGTATAAGTCTGTTGTCAAAACAACATTCTCAATAGTTGAAGGATTAATTTTGCTTGAAGCATTAAAAAAATCTACTTGTAACAATATATTTCTGATGTTGTGAGTATTCTACATTAAAGTGTACAGTTGCTTCCTTACATAATATATGTATCTGTAAGCTTTTACCCTTTGGTGTCTTATTCCTCGGAAGGAGGGAGGAATTTACTGATTTTTTCATGTATTACTGTTAATCTTGTCTTTGGACACCTTGTAATTTATTTATAGAAGTGCATATGCATGTAGTATGTCATGTACATATTGGATTCCCCTCTAAAAAGACGTAGCTTCAGTGCTATTTTTTCTGTATCGTCTCTACATGTGACTATAATTATCATTTACTCAGCAGTAATTTATTTTGTCATATATTTATAACTATTAGTGAAGAATGAAAGGATTTTAACATATATTCACATAAAAAAACCATGCAGATTCACTAATATTCTGTCATAGTTTAAGTTTGATGTGATGTTGTTATTTCATGGTAGGTATCTGCAGTTAAATATCAGAATCATATTTGTCAGTAAGGGCAACAATGTGGCCATGACACACAGAAAAAATAGGATGTACAGAAATGAATAGTAGTTTAAACAGTTTTTCTACTGATGAAGGTTGAATCTAATATTGCAAGTTAATTCAATACACGTAGAAAAGTGCTTTACATGACATAAGGATTAGTGGTGCAAGGGGAGCTAACTAGAGCTCAACTGTTATCCATGACAAAGTAGATTCTTTGTATTTCTCAGGGTGATGTTTCTCCTCAGCTAACAGATCAGCTATAAATTCGATTTTAAATTTTTAGAGTTTATCAAAGAAATTTGAAAATAATATAACTTCAAATATTCATTTAATTTTGATCTTCCTAAAAAACTGTGGCTAAATTCTTTATGTACTGGGTCTTCCCAAAATTTATTAGTTTACTTTCCCTTATAAAACATTTATTAAGCTGAGATGCACCAGGACATCAGATTGTCAAAAGCTTGCCAACAAGAGTTTCATGAATGGCAGGCTTCAGGTTTGAGAAGATGAACCTAGATTATTAACTTCTAGAAAGATATAGATTATCTTTGTCCCTGAGTTATTTGGATCATTACCAATTACAATGTAATCAAGTCTACCAGAGAAATGTAGGCCTAGCCAATTATGCTCAAAGGGTGAATGCCTACCTAGGTTGAGTCATGAGGTTGAAGCCAGAAGATTTGACTTTTTAAGAATCATTGAAATTTTCCCATTAGAATAAATGTGATTCTGATTTTTTTCACAGGTCACATTTTATTATTTCAAAATTGACATCCAAGTGTGGTCTGTTATATGCTTTTCTTGTACTTATATATTTTTTCTTTCTTTCTTTTTTTTTTTTTCTTTCTTTTTTTTCAAGTTTGATAAAAGATGCAGTAGTTTAACTCTTCCAAGCTTTTATATAGCATTATGGCAAGTCATTGCTGAGCTCAGTTCATAAAACATAAATATTGTGATATTTCAAATTTTGCCATTATTTTCTTGAACTGGTATTTTGTTCATGAAATATGGGGCATCAATATATTTTCTTTTTTTTTTTGTATATTTTTTTTTTTTTTTGTGATCAATTTTATACCTATAGTTACTTTGTGTCTATGTAACTTTTGGAAATCATTGCAAATGAGTTTTTTCTTTTTTGCATGAAAAATGTTATAAAATCATGTTTTTTTTACATTGTTTGTAAGGGGATGCTTGTGTGGGTTTTAACATTTGTCTTAAAATTATATTGAAATCCCTTTCAATATCATTTAATGTGTAATTTAAGGAAGATATTGCCATATTAAATCACAGTGCAGCAGGCTGTTTTATATTTGTAGAGCTGTATAGAGGAAATTCAATATTTTCATGATTATAAGCTGGTGTACAGTTAAAATAGATATTACGTAACTCAAGAAAAGAAATTGATACTTTTTGATCTCAACCTATTGGCAACCAGTCTTGTTCTTTCCCTGGATAATTTTGTTTGATTATCTTCAAAACAATATCAAAATGGACAGCCTGTGGATTTACCTTTTGTATAAAGTGTTTGTTGTTTCCTCTATGGAATCATTGATACATTGCTCATATTCAGATCATTATGATGTTGCATTCATTGTTTAATGGATGCACTGCCTAATGGCTCATTGAGTGAAGGAAAACCTACAATTTATATATTGTAATCACTTATGTCGTCTCTCTGTGTTGTACACTTCTGTGTATGGTGATTCTTTCTGTGATGGTGTCTGTTGGATAACACATTTCAGAATATTGTCTATAGTTTCTGATAGAGGATTTCACATTTCAGAATATTGTCTGAAGTTTCTGATAGAGAACTTCACATTTCCGAATATTGGTAGATTTACCAAAATTATACTGGTATGCCCAATCATCCAATCATGTAAGTCGTTGTAAGCATGTCACAGCATAATCATCCAATCACATCTATGGTTATAAATATTTCACATAGCATTTCAGCTTTGTATTGTTTGATCAGATGAGCATCATTCATTTGGGGCATTTTGAGAGACAGGAAAAAAACAATACCACCAATTGTATGTATTTGTGATAAAGGAAATGCAAAAAATTTTTATTTATGACACAGGAAGAGTGTGTAAATAAATAAAGATCTTATAACACAGGGAATTTTAAAGATATATAAAGATCATATTTATGACACAGGAAAAGTGTATAGATACATAAAGATCTTAATGGCTTTGATAATTATCTGATAATATCAAAGAAACCCAATTAAATTTGTCATTAGATGACCTGGAGTAGGACATTCAGTTTAAAAGGTACATCATTTATAAATTTCACCACATTGTGCAATGTTAGTTCATACAGGTCGTAGAAACAGTACATTTAAACATCTTAAACTATCTGATATCTAATTTCTAGTCATGAGTCGATCACAATTCATCACGCTAACTGAGGTTTGAAGATATCTTAAACTAATTGAGACCAATATCTATTGATATAACAGGGTATTCATCACTAATTGATTGTATTTATTGGAATTTACAAATATCTGCTTCAGCATTGCAAGAAATATAAGGTACATACAAGTATTTATTAAAACTTGTTAATTTTAACTTTTAAAGTATGATAGTACATAACAACAATGGTAGTTTGATAGATAATTGTAAATAAAATGACTTAACGTTTGACGTGTGCAAGTCCTGAAATATTTTTTTTGTGTAAATAGTTATTCAAATAGGTGTTATCTATATTGGAAGCATGCATTAAAAAGTACCTTGAATTTCACACAATTTTGATCCCAAAATGTACATTAGTAAGCATTTGTAATATATTGTTAGAAGGAATTACAGTACTGTCATAATTTTGTTCATATAATTTATAAGTGATTTCTGAAAATTTACATACTTGTCACTTTAAAATGGGAGAATACATGTTAAACTTTCTTTTTTTTCTATACGTTTTTATAACAAATTCATCCTGATTTGTATTGAATGACAAAACATTCCATTTGGAAGATAACAGGTATCGGTATCCTTACACTACAGTCATGCAGACAGTAATATTAGTGTTACTGACCTGCTCATTAGTGCCTCACATAACCAGACATTTCCTGTCCTGTAGGCCTAGTCTCCACCACTAAGCATGGAACATTAAAATTCTTAGTGTGATTAGTAAGTTACAGTCTGTTGACTTGATGAGCTTTAAGTAATCTTTTATTGTTGGGGAAATATCTACATTTCCTGTTCGAAATGCTTCTGTGTTAAATTATAAATGGAATATATTATCATATAAATCATAATTTCAGTACATAATCAAGAACCAATTTTTTTTTTTTTTTTTTTTGGCTATTATAGTTGGTTGTTTCCTTTAAACATATAGATATATATTTAGATATTGATTGATAATTAAATCAAATTATTGGATCATTACTATCCTTGTATTCAAGATTGCACTTCAATAAATGAAATTATTATTATCCTATTAATCTTTTTTTTTCAGTAAAGATTTTGAAAACATGAATCCATACACCATGTCCCATTCACAATGTAAAGAATAGAAAGATTTATACACTGTACTGGTACAAGGCATATATTTATCTGTATCCAAAAGAAACTTTTCAGAAGATAGTGTTGTATTAATGATTTGAAAAGTTGAATACACATGCTTCGGAGTATCTGACTATTAGTAAACATATATAAGCAAGTCGATTTAGAACTATTGTAGGCGTTGCCACAAGAGTTATTTCCCCTTCTGCCACCTGTGACCATGTTCCATTTAAATGATTTATCTTTCATTCCTTTTAAACACACACCCTGATTACAATGGTGTTGATCTTAATCATCAATATCTCCTTTCACAATACATATATGTATACATATTATGTGTTTAGCATGTGTATCAATATACTACTAAAATCATGTGGATATTGTCGTGTATTAATTGTTTTTGAAAAGCTTAAGTGATTTTATTGACTGAACTTGATTGCAAATTTTGCTATTTAATCATTGTATGTAATATAACTACTTTTCGTATTGTTATGAACTGTGGTTGAAAACTGTATACATGTTATAAAAGAGATGTAGAATTGTTAGAATAATTATCAAAGAATGCTGAAGACATCCACAGAAAAATTGCTGAATCGGAAGAAGCAACATTATATTGACTGAACTTCATCCCAACTCTTATGATTTAACTAAGTAATATTTCTACTTTTCGTATTACAAGAGTGACATCAAATGTTAGGATGATGAAGTTGTGTATTCATATTATAGACAAAATATGGATCTCTACAAGTTATTAGATGCTGTTATCTTGGTGATATATTCATGTATAAGGTTTAAGTAATTACTGTAATTGAAAAAGGCTAGAAACGAATAATGTTGAAATTATGGGCTGTAATCGGACTCATTAACCCAGATGTTATCAGTTTGTTCATGTAATAGTTTTACAAACATCACAATCACAAGGTAGTTTAACATTGTACCATGAGATAGGTTGACTCATCGTAAAGATGATAAAAAGACTTTGATCTGAAGGTAGCATTAGTCCATTGTAACGATGGTATGTACTCTTCTGTAAATTAAGGCTTTCTGATTTTGCCTGGAACTAAATTATTTTGAAAACTTAATTCAGTCTGGAAAATTTATTGTCCATATAAACTTCAATGTATAACCAAACCTACATGTTGGGTAAACACAACAGCGTTGTTGTATTATGTTGGCTCTGCAGTGTCTAACTTTTGTTAATGTTTAAACGAGTGATGGTAGTTATCTAAGTAATGAGGTTATTTAAACTGAAGACAAAAACATTTTTAGATTAGTTAATTGTTTTAGATTATGAAGAATATATTAAGAAAAAGCAATCTTGAAATTGGCTTTTAATTGAAATTATTGAAAATAATCTATATGATCTTATCAGAATTGTCCCATCCAACACTATAGATGTTTCACAATATGCTTTGAGTCATTAAATATTCAATAAGCTCGGTAATTGGCGCCCACGTTAGGTGACTTCCCTTGTGAGTATACCCACGTGTCTGTGGCTTGTCGTAATTCCACTGTCAGAAGTCAGCCATCTTGTGATCAGTAACTATTTGTGTAAAGTGCATCTCTACTGGCATTGAATGAAATAAACATGATTTATAAAACAAGAATGGTTCCTCTTTTCTTTTGTTAGAGTCATTTTGAAATACGTTTATATTTTGTTAGCATTTTTCTGAATTGAGAACATGACTCGATTGACCAAAAGTTACATGGCGGATGTTTGATGACGCAGAAGATGCTTCGTTTTCTGTAACTTTCAGATACTTTTTGGGAGGACTGGTTAATTCTTTCATTTGTTCATATTTTGCCCTCATTTAATCGATTTTTAGTTTAATTTACGATTGTTGATATGTCCTGCTTTTGTTTAAACATAGGTGTATGTAGTGAGGTAGTTTTACTTTACAGATTAACCAATTACTTGGTCATCCTGCACGTGAAATTCCTGTTGTGTTGTACTTAACCCCTGTACCATTCCAAGGAGTTATGAATGTCTCTTCTGCATCTCAGTTTTCATTTCGTTCCGTCGAACTTAAAAAAACCCAGAATCCCTGCCTCAAAATATCATTGTTCACGGAGCCTTAGATCTTGTAAACATACTAACAATATACATGTATAGAACAGACAAATGGTGTTGTGGGACCTTAATTAATAAACACCACGACCTAGTCTATTGATATGTGAAAATAATGTTGATACTGCTTAAAAACTCATAATGACGGAACTGGACATTGGCTTTCATTCATACATAATTTGATTTATTGACTGAACACATGACTAATAAAGTTGAACTTGGTTCTGTAG